CCGTATCGCACACACACCCATCATCACACTCACGGTGCCACACTCACACTGTCACTGTCACGCACACACTCACAGTGTCACACACACATGAGACCAAGCCATTAGGCCCTAGCTGAAATAACCTTACTTTTTAGCATTAGTATGATTTAGCACCTAAACGTGGATGCTCCCTCGACAAGGGGCCCCCTGAGGGTGGGAACCTGCCCTTCTGATGAGGCTTGATAAACAGTGCATCAGAATTAGGGCCTGTAGATGCCTTGCATCTGCTTCTGGGAATTGCTTCTAAGCAGGGACGTCCCTCGTGGTAAGAAAGGATAACAACTGAACAAAGAACTGAGCACGTAGCCCACAGGTATTAGCAGCTGAAGGTAGAAGGTAACTAATAGCCTGTCATTGTAGCCCTACCCCAAGTGTGCAGTAGGACAGGGGGAGTACAGATACATAACTTACCCAAATGGATCTGTGGCTGCTTCAGATAAAATTAGATCAAGATGAAGATGCAAAGTATAAACCCCCTGAAATTTACCGTGCTTTGGAGATGTGGATGGAGGTTTGAACCCCCGAGTGCTCCCAGTGCTAGTGAATAGGTCTGTGCTTTACAGTGCATACTGTGAAGTGATTTCTTTGAATCACACATACAGACACACGGTGTCACTGCCGCTGTCACTCACACACACACACACACTCACAATCACACGGTGTTGCTCCTGCTGTCACTTATACACACACTTAGACACACACTGTCACACACAGTCACACATATAACACACACAGTCACAGTCACACTCATGGTGTCACTGCCGCTGTCATGCTCACACTCTCTCACACACACAGTCACACAACACACACACTCACTGTCACAGTCACACTCATGGTGTCGTTCCAGCTGTCACTCACACTCACAGTCACACTCTCACACACAGTCACACTCACTGTCACACACTCACAGACACACTCATGGTGTCGCTCCTGCTGTCACTCACACACACTCACACACTCAGTCACACACACAGTTACACACTCACAGTCACACTCATGGTGTCACTTCTGCTGTCACTTACACAGTCACACATACACACACACAGAGAGTCACACACACACAGGGTCACAAATACACAGAGTCACACACACATAGTCACTCACAGTCACACACACACAGTCACTCACAATCACACTCACGGTGTCGCTCCCACTGTCACTCACACAGAGTCACACACAGTCACTCACAGTCACACACACAGAGTCACTCACAGTCACACGGTGTCGCTCCCGCTGTCACACAGTCACACATAGTTATTCACAGTCACACATACAACACACACAGTCACTCACAGTCACACACGTGCACACACAGTCACACACACAGAGAGTCACAGTCACATCCACAGTCAGTCACAGTCACACACAACACATACAATACACACACATAGTCACACACATACACAGTCACTCACAGTCACACACAGTCACACACACACAGTCACACACACAGTCACAGTCACACCCACAGTCAGTCACAGTCACAAACACACAACACATACAACACACACAGTCACACATACAACACACACACACAGTCACACACATACACAGTCACAGTCACACACACAGAGTCACACACACACAGAGTCACACAGTCACACACAGTCACACACACAGTGTCACACACAGTCACACACACAGTCTCACACACACACTCACAGTCACACAGTCACACACACAGTCACACACACACAGTCACACACACAGAGTCACACACACACATACAACACACACACAGTCACACACACATACAACACAACACACACATACCACACACACACATACAACACACACACATACCACACACATACAACACAACACACACACATACAACACACACACAACACACACACAGAGTCACACACACATACAACACACACACAGTCACACACACACATACAACACACACACACAGTCACACACACACACAGTCACACACACAACACACACAGTCACACACACAACACACACACAGTCACACACACACATACAACACACACACACACATACAACACACACACACAGTCACACACACAACACACACACAGTCACACACACACATACAACACACACACACACATACAACACACACACACACATACAACACACACACACACACAACACACACACAGTCACACACACAGATACAACACAACACACACACATACAACACAAACACACATACAACACAACACACACACATACAACACACACACACACATACAACACACACACAGTCACACACTCACAGTCACACTCCCGGTGTCGCTCCCGCTGTCACTCACTCCCACCCCGCCCCAGTCCCGCCCCGGTCCTGCCGGGCGCATGCGCGGTTCCTGCCGCCGCCACGGGCCGGGAAGCGCCGGTTCGCGGAGCAGCCGCCGGCGGGACTCGGGTGAGGGGCGCCGGGCTCGGGGCGGGCAGCGCGGGGCGGGCGGGCCCTTCCGCTTCCCCTTCCCCGTTAGCGGCCTCACCGGGGCCTGTCACAGCCGGGAGCGACCGGTCCCGACGCGCGGCGGCCCCGGGCCCAGCCTGGTGCTGCTCGGAGCGGGGCCTGCGGTTCCCCTCGCGGCCGGGCCGCTGCTGCCGGACAAACGGCTCCGGTCACGGCTCCCCTTGGCCGGGCCCGTCCCGTCCCGTCCCGCAGCCCGGCTGGAGCCGGAGCCGGAGCCGGCCCGGCCGCGCCAGGTTTGCGCCCCACAGCCCAGCGCTGTCCCCGTAAGTCAACAGAGCTCCGGTGGCCAGGAGCCCTCCGGAGGCGGCGGGATGCGGGCTGGGTCGGCCCTGTGTGCGGGTGTACCTGCCGCGGCTCTCCATTCCTGCCCTCTGCTTTACTGAGAGGCGAGCGCTTTGTTCTGCTTCAGTCTTTATTTTCCCGTCCAAAGGGAGCTCTCTTGATGCTTGTTTTGAATGGAAAGAGTCCAGGTTTGGAGCTGTCGGGCTTTATCTTCTGCTCTTTGGGCTGTCAACCCAGCCGAGGGTCGGTGGAGGCTGAAGAAGGCAGGAGTGATGGATCTGTGTGGTTGGAGTTACTCCTGTAACCTCCTCACTGGTGCTCCTGGGTTGCTCTAGCTGTGTGCTGATGGTGTTGGGTGCTCGTGTATGGGAAGATGTGTTTAGATGCGAGGTACCCGGCAGCAGCTTTGGACCCTGTTGCCGCTGTTGGACCCTGTTACTGTGTTCACAGCTCTGGTTGTGCAGGGCCCAGAGGTGCAGATGGGACGATGCAGGGAGTTTAGGAGCGCTCGGGCTGGGTGGTTTGGGTTAAGGGAGGCACAGGGTACCTGCAGTGCTGCTCCGGTCATGCCCCCTGCACAAGGTCATGGGCTTGTTACAGCCCCGCTGCCTCCCTGTGCTTTATCTGCATTCCTAATCCATGTGTAATCCTTTTGCACGGGCTCTTTGTAGCCCTCCTGATCCTGTCTCTTATGCTGTGTTAGTGGCACTTGACAAATCCCCCCTGGGCACTCTCAGTTCTAAGCTGAGTGCTAAGAAGTTTGTGTTACCGAGCTGGTGATTTGTGTTTCCTTAACGCAGCTCCTGAGGCCTTTTCTTGTTGGGGTACAAGCTAGCGCATTGCTGAAGCGCTGGTCACAGCTTCAGTTCAGGCACTGGAAAAGGCTTTCATTCCGGCCTGCCCCTCCCCAGCTTTCTCACCACCATTGGCTGGAGCTTGAGGAGCAGGGAGGGAATCTGCTGGGAAACACAACTGAAACTCACCCAGTTCCTTTCCTGTCCAAGTCCCTGATTTGAGCCATGTGGGTAAAGGCTACAGAGATTGTCCTGGGGTGCAAAATACACCCAAACCAGTCCAAATACAAATCCCGAATTCCCTCCTAAGTGGAGGGCATTTGGCTGCAATATTGAAGGTTGCACTTCAAGGTGTCAGGGGTTTGTTTTCATTTGGAGCAAGGTAGCCCATAGGATTTCTAATTGGAGCCAGGACTGTTTGCTGAATAAACACTTTCAGTGGTTGGGATGACTTGGAGCTTTTCAAGGGATTTTTAAAGCTCAAGGTGAAGTGTTATAGTCCATGGGATTTTAGGAAAGACATGTAGTTACCCTCCCTGGGACACTAATCTGCCAAGGATAGAGCCAGTGTGAAGAGCTGGTGCAGCTGAGCTACTGGTAGCATCCCAAACGCAGTGCTGGTCAAGTGGGATGTGTAACACGTCTCTACACAGCTCTGTGACACACGTGGCAGCCCAAGGGAAAGCTGTTTGAGCAGCTCTGGGATTGGATTCCTCAGCTCTTAATACTTGTGTACTGCTGGATTCATGGAATGGGGAAAGGAACTGCAACTTCAGGCCTCTTCTTGTTTGCCTTAACTCAGGAGCTCGGGTAATTCTGGCGTACTGAAGCTCTCCCGCATTCCTCGCTTCCCAATCCGTGCAAACAGCTGCTGGCTCGAGCACGGAGAACTGGCAGGAGGCTGAAATCCTCCCCTCGCTCCTTTGGAGCAGCATTCCCAGCTCAGGAAATGCTTTTCCACTCTGATGGGGAAGTGAATATCGAAGCACGCGATGCTCACATGCAGCCAGCCCCGTACCTTTGCGTGTGGTCTGGGATTCAAAGCATCGCTGCTCCCCAGGGTGAGCAACAGGCTGCTGTCACCCAGCTGGTGTCCCAGCAAGTGGAGGGGGTACATGAAGGGGGCAGCTTTTCTGCTGGGATGCTCTCTTTTTTCCATTTCCTGCTGCTGTGCTTCAAAAAGGAAGGAAAACAAATCGCTGACTCCATCCGAACAGCTTCCCTCTGCTGTCCCCATCTGTAGGATGGGCAGATGAGTATTTGGTGACAGCAACTTTAGGGGGAGAAAGGTGTTGGTTCTGTCTTGGGGGTTCAGAGCACCTCATGCAGGTGGGTAGGACAGAGAACCCTGCAGCTCTGCTCTGAGTCCAAGCCGAGCATGGACATGCTGGTGGTCCCTTTGGAGGAGATGTGTTGGTGTGAAACCTGCCATTAAAAGAACTGGCAGAGGCAGGTGTTGGGTTTGACACCTCAGGTTTTAACTGGCTGGGTTGAGCAGTAAAATAACTGTCCATGGTGTGTTAGGGAAGAACGAATTCCATGGGGAAGATCCATTGCAGAGACCAGGGTTTTCTCCTGGTGCCCTGGAGCGGTTTGTCACCAGCACCAGTTGAGCTGGGGGTGTTGTGTAGAGCTCTCAGAGCAGCTCATAAACCGATTTGCACTGAATTCCTGGAGAAAGTGTTGCTTTCCTCTCATGAATGCAGACGTGTGGGTGCGTCTCTTTGCCTCTTGCTCTTCTTCTATTGCTTTTTTAAGCTAGCAAGCCACACGAGCCTGATGGATGGGATGCTCCACGGAGCGTGGGATCTTCCCCATCCGGCAGGGATGTCATTCTCCTTGCAGATGGCATCCTCCAGTGGAAGCCACCCACTGCTGCTCTGCCTCTTGGGCACCTGAACTTTTCCATTGGATGGGAAGGAAGCTCATAGCTGCCTGCTGGGAGTTAAGTGAGCAGTCAGTGATGGAGGCCTGAAGAAGGAGAAGGTGACTGTTCTGAAACAAAATGAATTGCACTTATTCACAGTCATACCCACCTGATCATGAGCAACAACGTGGGGTTGTCCAGCATTTGGGCACCAAGATGCATGTGTCCAGATGGTCTGGGTAGGATTCCTTGCAATGACAAAGCAGGCAGGTAATGCCATGTATCAGACTTATGGTGTCTCTTGGGCAGCTTGGTGATCGTGCAGTGGCTTTGTGGTTTTGCATCCCTAGGGGGCTAAGAGTGGTCTTTCTGTCTCTGCATCCTGTCTCTAAGTCCTTAGGATTTATTCACTGCCTTTGTGTCTTTACCTGAATGTCTTAAAGCTCTTACTCCATTCTCTCTTCTTCCCCAAATCATCTCTTCTTGGCTTGAGTCTTTAGCTTGAGTCTTTGTTGATGCAGATTGTTTGTTGTTTTAAGATGTTCCTTGTTTTCCAACCTGAGAAGCTGCAGCTAGATGTAGTGCAGTCTTAAGGACCTGCTAAATCACTGCCTTCAGCACAGGCTGTTTATTACACCCTATGTTCCTCCTAGTGCTTCTGTGCTTCTTTCCATCCATTGTTCACTTGGATTGTGCTTGGTATATGCACTACTGTGATTTGCAGACTGTGCATAAAGAATTGTTTTCTGCCTTTGTGTGCGCATACAGTGCTGCACAGAAGGAGTCAAGGGACTGATTCTGGATCAGAACTGCCTGGTCAGAAGCCTGGATGGAGCTGATGATCAGTGAGAGCCCAGATCAGTGAGAAGAGTTTGGATACCACTTGTATAACCAAGTCATTCATGTACATGTGTGCTTGGGGAGCTCCTGCTCCCAAGCTGATATCTCACATCAGGGTGGTCAGTGTAACGCTGCCAGAAGCAGTGTGAGTGGGGACAGGTATGGGGTGGCCTTGGCATGATCCTGTCTAGTGCGTGTCTGAACTTGGGTCAGGGTTTAGGGGTTTCCCTGCAGGTGGTCAGCAGTGCTCCTGGGCTGGTTCTGTGCACATCTGCAGTGATTCTGGTGGTGTTTGGTGCTGCAAGCTATGGGAAGCAGAGTGTCCTTAGAGTTTTTGCTCCAAATTAACAAGAAAAGTTGCCAGCATTGGCAGGGAGTGGGAGGTGATACCCCATCTGCCCTCAGCCAGAGGGTTTTGAGGCCAATCCACTTCTCTGCAGTTTCCTAAATGCATAGCAAGCATCTTCTGTGCAAGGCTGAGCTTGTTCCCCTCTCTCAATTGGCTTGTGTGGTATGCATACAGGGTGGGGTGGATTTGGGGCATCATTCTCAGCCCTATGAGCTCTCTTTGTTTCTTGCTACAGGTCCCCCAGAAGAAGATGGTGTGAAGCTGCCCCTTGCAGCGTGCCCAGAACTCAGGGAGGAGCATGGCAGCAGCTCAGGAAGCAGGAAGCAGTTCAGCTGGGCCATCCGGACTCCCCGGTTCTGCCCCGGGACATGGCAGCAACTCCCCAGCGGTGGCAGTGTGGGAATGGCAGGATGAGTTTGGCAGGTGGAGGCCGTACAGAGGGAATGTCTGCAGCTACATTGAACAGGTTTTTCAGGCCTCGCAGCAGAAGGGCCGGCGCTCGGGATCAGGGCTTGTCAGCAGCATCCCTTTGGGACATGCAGATCCCGCCTTGGCCCCCTATGTCATCGACATCCCAAGCTTGACACAGTTCCGTCAGGACACAGGTAAGGGAGCACCCCTGCCCATGCTGGGGTTTTGATGAGGCTGCTTGTGTGCTTGGAGATAAGTGGGACCCCATTATGTGTAGGAGAGCCCTACAAAGCTCTGTTGTGTGTTGCCACAGCAGGGCAGTGCTTTGAGGGGTGGTTTAGTGTGTGGTGTCCCTGCCCATGGCAGGGGGTTGGAACTGGATGATCTTAAGGTCCTTTCCATCCCAAACCAGTCTATGATTCTATGTCTGCTTCTCTCCTGATGCTGTCTGCCACCCAGCACGTTGGCACATGAGAACATCAGTATTAGCTGGCATGAATCAGTAGTGCTGCTTCCTCTTAAGGAACCTCATCACAGGACCCCTGCAGCTCACAGAGCTCTCAGAGCCGGAAACTTTCTTCCTGCTCCCACCCGTTCAAGACCACTGGTGTAAAAAGGGCCTTTTCTTAGGCTTCAAACCCAATCTCCTCCCTTGTTCCCTCTACAACTGGAGTGCCAGCTGCTTTACCTTGGCATGCCGCCCCGCACAAGCTGCTTTGCGCAAGCCTGCAGCCCCCGCAGAGCGCCGTGATGCTGCAGCAGAACGTTCCCCGCACTTGTGTGCACAAGGCTGGCTTGCTTCCTCCCATGGAAGGGCTTCATAGCAGGACTGAGACCTAATTTTCATTCTCTTGGGGTCAGTGAGGCAGCTCAGGATTTGATGACTCCTGCCCTCTTCTGCTGCAGATGTGCTGAGCAGCTGTAGCTTAGGGAGAGGGCAGGGATGGAATGCATGCTCTTCATGACTGGAAAATCCAGGGAGATCCCAAATTACACACCCTGAATGAATGGCTGCTGTGGGAGATTCTCCATGCCTCACTTTCTCTTTTGCCAGCATCTCTCCCATCACCCCAGGGCACAATCAAGCACCACCCCAAGCTTAAGAGATGGGCAGCGTGCTGGTTTCTTGCCAATTGAAGCAATAAATGAGCAGTATCTTGAATCAACTGCACTACTGGGCGATTCCTAAAGGAAAGGGAAGTGGTTGGAGCAAATGTGAGCGGTCATCACAGCTGCATCCGTGTTTTTATTCTGGCTTTGTGACCTTAGGATTAGGTTTTCCAGTGGTGTCATGGGTGGGGAGCTTTCTTCATGGCAGGTCTGCTCAGCATGGCCTGTTTGAGTCCTGCTGAGGTTGTGGCTTTGAGCAGTACAGCATGGACCCAACAAAACTGGCACCAGTGGCTGTTTCTTGCTTGTTTCCAGACTTGCTGAGTAGCCCAGTTTGGTGAGGGTGAAGGATGTGTCCCAGTGTGAATGGGACATCCTTCTTCTGTATCTCTTTAGAGCTTGTACCACATTAGACCCATGTGAAAGATCTCAAAACAGTTATCCCATTGTCCATCGCAGGGTGGTTCAGAACTGGTCATCTCTGGGGGACAGTCCAGTACAATTTGGGAATGATGTTGCCTGGCATGCCCTCATCTTTCCTTGGACAAGATCTGTGGTTGAGGTGTTAATAACCAAAAGGGCTGATTCTGTTCCCCAGCTCTCCTGCAGTGTTTCCCACTGATGCGGAGGGATGCTCATCAGCTCAGTGAGCCTCCCTCCACAGGTACCTGTGCACTCTGCAACGTGACTATTGCAAACACTCATATCCCCTTTCAGTGGCCCAGTTCTAAGCAAAGCTTTTTCTCTCTGCAGGGCTCTTGCCTTAACTGTGAAGCTTTCTGAGCAAGCAGCCAGCTGACCTTTGTTATGTGCAGGAGAAAAGAATCTCTGCAGGAAACATCCCCATGAAAAATCTGGAAATGGGGCAAAAAAATAGGCTGTTGTATTCTGCTCATTAGCTATTAGACAGACAAACAGGCTCTTCAAAGGAAGCCAGCAGAATAACAGGAAGCCAGTGTTAACGGGACCAAGAGGGAATGACAGCTGTGCAGGGGGATCTTATGGGCAGGATTAGTTGTGGCTTCAGCTGCTGGTCGAGGCACATTAGCTGGGAGTGAATGCAAGGGAGCAGCAGGACTTGTCCTCTCCCCACAGCTGTCTGCCCACCCTGGAGAGGAATCCCAGCTTCCCTGCCAGCCAGGGGGAAGGGGGATGTTTTCCAAGTGTGTGGCTTGGCTCTTGGTGTTGGTTCCTAAAACACAGGTTGTGTGCAAGCTCCTAGAGTCCTCTTTGTGCTGCTTTTAACTTGTGACCTGCCAGTGGAGCAGGGGCAGGGTTGCTAATCCCCTCCGAGTTGTGTCCCCCGGGCTTTTGGACACCTTGCTTTACCTGTGGTAGTCCCCTTACTCCTGAGAACAGGCTCTCTGCAGTCATCTCTAAATGCAGTGCATTTCCAGCCCATCTCATCCCCATTCCTTCTTGCTCAGGGGTCATCCCTGCTGCTGCCTACCTGTTGAGGTGTGGGTTTGTGTTTCTAGCACTTGACAGGACAGGATAGGAGCAGTCATCACTAGAGTTTGGTTTTGGCTGTTTCATCTGCTTTCCCACTTATGGTGTCTGCTCCTGTCTGGGAAAGGTCTCCTTGGTTCTGCTGACACCTTCTGCCCTGACTTGTGCCAGAGGAAGCTCTTGTCCCACAGGAATCCCTGGGCTCATGGTTGAGCTGTTAGGATCCAGTTCTTACAGAGAGGTTGCTGTGTTTCACTGCCTGCTGATAGCTTTTTAGGTGTGCTGATGAGGTGCTGTCTGTTGGATGCAGACACTGGAGAGTCTCACTGTGCAGTTAGCAGGATGCTTGGTGCTGCTCTGACCACTGAAGCAGTGAGTTGGGAGTAAGTGCTGGACCTTCCCTGGCTGCTCATCCCTGAGGCAGGCCATACCCTGTGCCTTCAGCTCCCCAGCAGAAACACAGGTCCTGACATTCCTTGGTCTGCCACGTTCTTACTTTGAGAGAGCCACAGCCTTTGTCACCTCTGGAGCTCAGGTCTGTCTCTACTCACCTAGTTTCCCCCATGACATGTGGGACATACCTGCACCCCAGCACAGGACGTGGTTATGGTCTGAACACCAAAACACTGCGCAGAAACCACCGGTACTATACAGAAAAAGCCTGGAAGTGTGATAGGAGCAGAGATGTGACTTTCATGCTGTTGAATTTTCAGCAGTGAGGAGGCAGTTAATGCCCTTATGGTTTGAGTCAAGTCCTAGTGCTTTCCACAGTATCTCAGTACTATGGGGTAGGGATAAAAGCAGCATGAAGCAGAGGTGCTCCAGCGAGCATTCAGCCAGAGCCTGAACACAGGTAGCAGTTGGGCTTCAGCAGTGTGGAGTCCCATGTGTCCTCTCTCTTCCTTGGGATGTGCTTGTTGGGTGAAATACCCTCAGCAGCATCAGGGCAGTTTTGCCCAGGCTTTAGGTGTGGATGTCTGTAAATGTGCCTGTTTTCACCTGGGGTCCTGCAGCAGTGTCATAGCTCTCACAGCCTCTTTAGAGGCTCTATTTGATTTGGGTTTTCACCTGTTGGTGCTGTTCTCCAAGCTCTTCCTGTCTCTAAGGACTCTCTGCACCTCTGTTCACCCCACCTCCTGCAGCCCCAGACTTGCCCTGCAGCATTTCCTGCTCCTCTTTCTCAGTGCAGGATGAGAAAGCAGCTTTGACCCTGGTACAGGAACCCGTGCTTGCAGAGGTTGCTGGGTTTCTGTCCTGTTGGATAGCTTACATCCCTCTCATTAGGCTTCTCCTTTCTGAAAGAGAGGAGTGGAGTCACCCTGGAGAGCCAGATTTCCAGGGGGTTGTGAGCTCCTGCTGTTGCTCTCGAGCAGCATCGCAACAGTCAAGTGCCTGCTTTCATTTCTCTTCCTTTATGTGAGCAGCTGCTCTCTCCAGTTTCCACATCACTCCTTATCTCCTCTCTAGTCTTGCTGTATCTGCCAGCCTGCAGGAGCTGGCTCTGCCTGTCCCCTCTCCAAAGTCCTTGTTCTTCCACTCTAAGGACTTTACCTACTCCTCCAAGAGCAGAATTACCCAGACCCGTGCGGAGCAGAGTGGGTGTTCAGCCCCTTATGCACGCTCCCCGATGGTGCCCTGTCTCTATAGTTACTCTGTTGTCAAGGCTGTGGGAGTTGGGTTTTTTTAAACCAGATCTGTGCTTCAGCCTGATTTACTTCTATTTTCACTCTGTTTTAACGTCAGGGAGGCATCTGTGCTCGGTGTGCCTTTGTGCTGGGGTGTGTCTGTCTCTGCATCCTCTCTCCTTCCCTCCTTTCCCACCCTTCCTCCCAGCAGCTTTTGAACCTGTTGCCAGCCCACAGTCAGATTTGGCAGAGGGACAGGGATCTCGGGGATGGGGATATTGCGTTTCTCTGCGCTTCATGAGCAAAGCCAGTCCTGTTGGGAAGACAAAGCCCGTTAGTGCCCTTCTTGTGGGAGAGGTGGGGAAGCCACCCTGATGCAGACACCACAGATCTGTGCAGAAATGAGTCCCTGAGACAACGTCCCCATTGGAGCTGTCGGAGCAAGTCCAGAGGAGGCCAAGAGGATGATCAGGGGGCGGCTCAGCTCCTGTGTGGAGCCAGGCTGAGAGCATTGGGGCTGTTCAGCCTGGAGAAGAGAAGCTGATAGAGATCTCAGAGCAGCTTCCAGTGTCTGAAGGGGGCTACAAGGATGCTGGAGAGGGACTCTTCATCAGGAACTGTAGCGTTGGGACAAAGGGGGAGTGGATTTCAACTGAAACAGGGGAAGATCAGGTTGGATCTAAGGAAAAGGTTCTTTACTGTGAGGGTGGTGAGGCACTGGCACAGGGTGCCCAAGGATGTTGTGAATGCTCCATCCCTGGCAATGTAAGTAAGGCCAGGCTGGATGGAGCCTTGTGTGGCATGCTTTAGTGTGAGGTGTCCCTGCCCATGGCAGGGGGTTGGAACTGGATGACCTTAAGGTCCTTTCCAACCCAAACCATTCTGTGATCCGATGATTCTCTGCTCACAAGACGGTTTTAACTCTTTCTCCTCGCACAGGGACGATGCGCGCCGTCCGCAGGCACCTCTTCCCTGGGGACTCTGCTGCCGGACAGGGCATCGTCTGGGAATGGCAGAACGACGAAGGCGGGTGGTCCCCCTACGAGATGAAGGTCTGCGTGCTCCTGGAGGAGGCCCGTGCCAAGAACCACCAGCAGGTAGATCTCAAATCCTTGGGCTACAACTACATCGTTGACGTCGTGGCTCAAGTCCAGACCAACAAGAACACGAGCTTCCGCCGCAGCGTTCAGCGGCGCTTGGACACCCCGTACCCGGTGACAACATCCCCAGCACCCCTTCACACAGGGGTGGCTTGTTCCTGCCAGCAGTGCTGGCTAAACAGCGGGACTGGTCCCATCACCACACGCTACCGCCACTCCATGATAAACGTTCCAAACTCTTCTACTGCTCATCAGGGTAGGACAGCATCCGTAAGCTCTTCCAGCGTCGGCTTCGTGCCCTATAACAAACCGACTTTGTCTGGAGCAAGGTCAACACCAAGACTCAATGCACAGAGCACCTGGGCTTTGCCTCAAGCTGGGGGCCCCAGCACGGGACTGTCTGCATCGAATGGAGTCAGGTATAGATCCCAATTCACCTTTAAATACTGTGCCTGTAGAGTCTTCACCAAAAGGGTTGTCAAGCACTGGCACAGGCTGCCCAGGGCAGTGGTGGAGTCACCATCCCTGGGGGTGTGTAACAGATGTGGTGCTGGACATGGTTTAGTGGTGGACTTGGCAGTGCTGGGGTAATAGTTGGAGTTCGTGTTCTTAAAGGTCTTCTCCAACCTAAACGACTCTGTGACTGCTGTGCTCAGGTCTTTGTTATATAGGAGCCTCTCTGTCCCAGAGCACGTAACAAGGGTCTTGTCCCTAAGAAGGAGAGAGAGGTTTGTGCCTTTGCATCCTGTACAGTGCGTGGAAAGGCTTCTCCTTTGCTTTCCTTTCCTTTTCCCCCACTTGAAATATAGTCCTTGTCTTCTTCTCTCCCTGAACCACTGCAGAAAGGAGTCAGGTTGTGATTCAGCAGATACAAGAGAACTAATAGTGGTTGGTGGTGTTACAGGTTACACTTAAATACAGCTTTGAGGGGTCTGAGTGAACGAACAGGGGATTTGTGGACACCCTTATTTAATTCAAAATAGGCAGTAAGCATAGAGTGGAAAACTTCTCCGTGTTCAAAGCTCTTCCCCTTCAAGGAGGGAACACAGGGCTCGCTGTGTGTGACTGAGACCTCTGACAAAATCAGCAATTCCATATTGGACACTTTTAAGGTGAACATCAGGAAAACCCCCACCAAAACTGCCCAAAGCCATGGATTTGATCAAGGGCTGTTAAAATCCATTGTGATGATGTTTAGAAAACCAAACCAGTAATTCACTTTCCCCTTCCTTTGATACCTTGAACCGTATCGACCCCTCTCTGAGATCCATGGGGTAACACTAGCAGTTTGAGCAGTGTCCAGGCTATTCATCAGTGCTGATGCAGAGATGCCACTGGATAAGCATGGAAGAAGTTCATTTTGCACATGTTGAGCTGCTGTTGTGATGTTGGAGGTCAGGAAGCACAAGCAGGATTGTAAGTGGTCTGAAATCCAGCTGAGCTTTGCCTTGTGCAGCTTTTGCCTTGTCCTTTCCCTTCATCTTTCTTCAGCAACCCTGGCTCTTTTCTGACAGGACTGAAACTGTCACAGCATGGATTTGAGCTCCCATCCGAGCGGCTGGAGCTGAGGAAGGGTTGTGCTTACACCTTACCAGTGTGGGAGGAGGGGCTTCACTTCAGGCCTTTCAGCTCTTGCCACCTAGGTGAAAAGCAGAGTCTCATGTTCTGACAGCTCAGCTCCTCTCCATGGCACAGTTATTCCCTCTGGGATAGAGTGGGGCTGCAGCACTGGGCTCTAGTAGGGATTTTGGGCTGGGGGAGATCAGTGTCACCCTTGGGAAGTGAGGCACTTCCCTCCTTATTCTTGTAGGCTGGCCTCTGTGAAGCCTGGACATCCAAATCAAGCCAAATCCCACTGACTCCTCCTGTGTGCAAGCCTTTGCTAGCAGAGGTCTTTGTGGCCCTTCTATGATAATACTTGCACCTAGTATCTGCCAGCATTAAACTGGGGACCAAGCAAGGGCTGTGTGACTGCTCCCTCTGTAAATGGCTGGCAGTGTACAAAGCAGTATAGGCATTTCACCCTCCATAATCCAGCTGCTGAACTGCTGCGTGAGCACCTGAATAACCAGAGGGGAACTTGCCAGGGCTGATTTACCTGTCCAAGCTACCCCAAGTACATAGAGATAAGAGATGAAGGAGGGGGTTGAAAGCACATTCTGCTGATTACATCAGGCACAGGGGTTTGAGGTTTGAATCTCATTTGCGTTTTAAGGTGGTGAATCTGGAGGTATCTTCCTTAGTGTTGTATCTCTCAGGACTTTCCCTTTTCAGGGTCATGTGAGTGAAATGACTTCTCCTGTCCTGTTCTTCTTTCTCACGGTCTTTTTCGGGTGCTTTCTTGGCACCTAGTGGTGTTTTGGGACATCTTAAGCATCCAAAATGCTTCTCTGTTTCAGTTTCTTTCTAGTAGGGCTGAAAATCAGAGCTCGGTACTGCCTGCAGGAGTCCCCAGGAAGACTATTGAAGAAGCTGCCAAATTCCCCCTCTTGCAGGAGCCACTGGTCAGTGCATGGGGCTGCCTAGAGCCCCCATCCTTGCCCAGGCCTCTGTGTGATTTGCGCAGGGACTCTCAGAGTGGGAGGATTAAAAAGGAAGACCAGATTCTGCACCAGTTGTGCCAGGAGCCTCTCTGGAGCCCATTGGGGCTGGGTATGTTGTATGGTACTGATGTCCTGAAAGGAAGGATGGGAGATGTTTGAAGCACGGTCTTCTCACCATAAACTGAGCCCATGGCACAGATGATGCTGACTGGGAGGAGAGGGACAGCCAGGAGGAGCCCAGCTAGGATGCTGGGGAGGCCATAGTGTTGGCAGCCTGCTGGGCTGGGTCCTGTTTGCTGCTGGGACAGTTGGAGGGTTAAACCCTGCAGCAGGTATTGCTGGCAGAGCTTGTGCTGGGTTGATGCAGCAGCCCTGTGAAGGCATTGTGTGGTTAAATCTTTGCTGGGCACAGCAGAACATGCCCCAAGGGGAGGGCGAGTGTGATGTGAACCCTTGGCAGACCCCCAGCCTGGCCAAGACATGGGGATGCTGATGGGCACTTGTCTGTCTACAGGGCCCATCAGGAGGTGGTTTTGCAGGCAGGATGGTCTTTATGTCTACAGCTCTCTTTCTGTTCCTTAACCCTGATGTTTTCCACTAGCAGTATCTATGGAAGCCTCTCTTTTCCATACCCACCACAGGAGCATGTGTGGTTCACAGATCCAACCCATGGCCATGTGCTGAGCCCGGAGGGATGCAGCAGCTGGGGGCTCACCCAAAAGGACCCTAGTGAAGGGCAGAACAAAGAAGTGCATTGGAAGCTCTTCATGGATGACGGATGATGTCTGGATCTCCAGTGCTTTGCATTAGCTTTGGCCAGGGCTGCTCTCCCTTCTCCCTGCCAGGCAGACACATGCACACAGGGGGCAATCTCTATCTTCCTCTGTAGTGCTGTATGTGAAAGGCCTTTATCAGCACCAGCTGACAGCCTGAGATGGCTTTTCCCTGTCACCCCTGTGCTGGGAGTGCTGCTGGGTGTCTGTAATAGCTCCTGGCTGGGGTTACAGGCTCAGGCTCGTGAAACCCATGCTCCAGCACAAAATACTCCCATTTCTGTGAATTAGGAGGAAACCTGAGTAGCCAGCTCTAACCATGTGCTTTGTTTAATTCCTAAGCCCAGAACATTCCTGGGTTGTTTTACCCCTGAGGTTCCCCATCTTCCTGCCTCAGCTGCACTTGGATCGGTGCTTAATTCCCTTCTCTCCCAGTTGCTGCCCTCATTCCTCCTGCAGCCTTTGTGGCAGTGATGATGAAGCACTAATTACGTTATATGAGTTTCTGTCTGCATCCAGCATTCCTCCTAGCTGTGATGTGCAATTCCTGTGCTGGCCCATACTCGCGGACCGAAGGGAAGGAAGCAGTGGGCCACGGTGGATTCTCTACTGTCTAATAAAGGTTGTGCTCACCCTGCAGCTTTTGGCTCCAAAGCAGCCCTAGCAGATTACTTGGGTTTACAGAAGTGCTTATCTTCATAAAGCTTGCAGGGATGCCCCAGCTCCTGCCTCAGAGCAGGAAGGGCTCAAATGCTATTAGGGAGAGCCTGATCCACGGTGCAGTTATGTACCCTCAATTGGTTTAGGGGAGACAGCTAAAATGGGCAGCACTGAAGCAAACATCTCTCCTGTGGAGCTGAGAAAGAGCTGTAGTTCCTCCTGGGAAGCTGCCTAACTCCCTGTGTGGTGGTGCCAGTTACTTCTAATAGGCAGGCCAGAACAGCCCCCGGTGCTGTTAGTGCAGCAGAGGCATGCCTGGGCTTCTGTGGCGTTGGCAGTGATTGAATGGATTTCCTGCTTGCTGGAGGGTGGATGTTGGAGTGAGGGGGTGAAACTCCAGCACTTCAAAATGCAGGTTTAATTTCCCTGTGCTCTCGAGAGGGTCAGAGACACTGGAAAACCCTGACAGGCGTGCCAAGGCTTAAATAGATGCTAATGTCCTTGGCTGTGCTGCTAATGCATTAAACACTTGTGAGCAAGTTATTCTGCTGCTTGGTGCATGAGTTTCCTCTGGTGTATTAAACACAGTTAATGAATCCAGCCTGCCTCACAGACAGTGCTGAGAGCTGCAGATGCAGCGTGTCATGGCAAGGGTTGGTCCTTTTATCAGTGGTGTTAACTGGATCTGGGAACCAGGGGTCAGCTCGCAGCCACCTCCTGGCATGATCCTTCCCATCCCACACAGGGAAGCATCCATCCCTGGGGCAAGAACTACCTTATTGCATGCCCTGTGCTGTGTAATTACAGAGAAGGGCACTGAAACACAGTAAGGAATGCGCTGCTTGTTATGTGAGCAGGTAAAGCTGCAGGAAGCAATATTCAGGGGGATATATTAGTGCCCCAGCCAGAAAAATCCCCACTGTAGCTCTCATGGTCCCTCTGAGCTTGCATGGCTTTGGTGCTGGTCTAGGTTGTGCCTACAAATAAGGCAGGCAGCTTAGAGGTTTGGCTTTAAGACCATGGGTAATGGGAGTCCTGGGGACTGGGGAAGGATGCTTGGAGTACTGTGGTGTTCCTAAGAAGGATCTGGTGCTGTACCCGCAAATCTCCCGTGGGGAATGACCCACAGTGAATGTTTTATAGGATCTGGAGGTGTAACCAAGGGATCAGAACTTGGGCAGGGCCTTTCCTTTTCCTTTCTCCTCCTGTGCATCTCTCAGTGTTCTCCATGAGCACACCCATGAGCTCCTTGGGGGTGGGAAGGGCGTTCTGCTCAGTGCTGGTTCTGCTGGGCCCATTCTGACTTGTCCTCAGCCCTCTGTGAGCCATGATTGTTCTGCTGCCAGGCACTCTTCCCAAGTAGGATCAGGGGAACCTCCTCTGCTTGGTGCCAGGAGCAAAGCCATGATCCACATGGCTGCATGCATTGCACCCAAAGGTCCTTCTTTAGAGGGATTCAGTCTTGGGTTTGGCACCTTGAGAAGAAAAGTAGGGGAGAAACTGCTGTATGGTCATTAGTGTCATTGACATTCAAATCTGAGAAGGGGATTAGACCTTTGGGTGCCTCACATTAATGGGATACAGCCCTAATCTGAGGGAAGTGTTGGCTGTCAAGAGTGCTACAAAGATGCTGCAGTATAGGAATATGTGGCCTGTTGGCTGGTGTGAATGGAGAGGAGGGAAGAAAGGGCTGTATCAGGTGAAGAGTGTGAGTAACAACTCAGACTTCCCTACTTCTGCTCCATTAGGATGGTGGGTATCTTCAGCTTGGATGATGTTCAGCTCCAACCTGGCTGCCCAGTGTTTGAAGTGGCAGCTTCCTCTTTGGTCTTGTGCTTTGCTGTCTCACTGGTGTTGCAGGATCTTGAAATCATGGAGAAGTGAGTGGTTTTGTCATGCTGAAATACAGCCTGCCCTGCCTGTCCCCAGAGCAGATTGCCTGGAAGCTGCGGATGGGAAACCTCCTCAGGATCCCCTTGCTGAATCTTTGAGGACAGTGTCTTATTTTGCGTCCCCTTCACAGCCTCGTGATCCCTCGTGAGCTCAGTCACATCCAGCACATAGAGCAGCGGGAGAGCAGGAGCTGCAGGACAGAACTGGACCAGGGAGGAGGAATCAATCCCAGGAAACATTCAGGGAATGCAGGCATTGACTTTCAGGTGTTGCAAGCGCAGGCTGGACGTTTGGCTGGGACCCAAAGGCACTAACGGGGTAGAAATGTCCCCTATGAGCAGGAGCAGGCATCTTGGTGGATCCCTCCCATCCCTCTGCACTGCAGTGCTTGCTCTTGCACTGATGCTCTCCAGATCTCCCTCACCTCAGACCCTCTCCACCCTGCCTGCATCCTGTTTTCTCCTCACTGAGCCTGGGTTGAGTAAATCAAAAGGACCATACCCTTGCCTGGCTTCAGCTTTTCCCAGGCAGCCAGTGCTGGCATGGGGATGCTGGAGTAGTTTGGGTCTGAGCTGATGGGTTAAAAGTGTGTGTTCGTGCTGCTGGCACCTTGCTTTTGGAGTTGAGGCACAGCCTATGTTATACTACGACAGCAATCTCTTTCCTTCTCATCTCTTCCCCTTCTTCCTCCAAAAAGCCCCATTTCAGACACAGGGCAGGCTGCGAGTAGTGTTTCTGCACCTTTCCTGATGTGACAACACTTCCTCCCGTGCCCTGTGGCTGCAGATCTCCCCAGGCAGGGCTGTGGCAGAGGTACCTCCACGCACTGTGCATTTCCGTTGGTTTCATCAGCCCCACAGCTGGGCTTTCTGCAGATATAAGAGGAATCACGGTGCGCTCGCACGGTGTCAAGCAGATGGGTCAGCACATCCTGCGGTGATGTTAGCTGAGATGCTGCTAACTGAATGTGCCTGTGTTCAGCCCACGTGGAGTAACAAGGACTTGGTTTCTCCTTCATCACATCAGTTGGCTTAAAAAGCCTCCAGCACTCAGAGCCGACACACTTTGCCTTCACACCAGGGGTGCAGCCCATCAGTGGCTGTTTGGTGGCTGATGAAGAGTAATTCATCTGCAGTGCAGTTGCAGCTTCCCACACTGGATTGCTTGCAAGTGCATCAATTGCTTATCTATTTCCCTGTGCAAATCTCAAGGGCTCTCCTCACTTCTGTCGTGGTTTAACCCAGCAGGCAGTTAAACACCACACAGCCACTCATTCACTTGCCCCTGCATGGGCTGGGGGAAAGAACTGGAAGGAGAGTGAAATAGAATCTGTGGGTTGAGATAAAGACAATTTAGTAGGACAGAAAAGGGAAGGAAAATAGTAAAATAACAATAATGATGATGATGAAAAGAATTATAATATCCAAACCTAGTGATGCACAATGTAATTGCTCCTTGCTGACAGGATGGTATGAGAAGCTGAAAAGGCCTTGACTTGGTGTAAGCACTGTTCAGCAACACCTAAACCATCCGTGTGTTACCAACACTATTCTCACAGTAAATCCAAAACACAGTTAGTAGGAATAAAATCAATCCCAGCTGAAATCAGGAAAAGTCTGTGGAAGCTCTAATTGCTGGGTGACTTGGAATTGAAAGGAGTGAAGAATTTCCCTGGTGGTCTTCTAGAATTACCAGTGATCCCCTTCCCAGAGCAGCCCTGGGTTTGCTATCTTCACCCTCAGGTGTAAGGACCCTTGTTCCAGCCCCCTGGAAGGATACCCCACTGCCCATCTGCTCTCCTAGCACAGCAGCAGGTTCAGCTTTGGGCTCTGGTGTGGTTTTGCCTTCCATGGGGAAGTGAAAGCACCCAAGGTGGCTGGTGTGCTTCGCGGTGTGATGGTGAAACACAAGCTCTTCAGCATCAGTCGTGCGCAGGGTCAGAGGCTGGGTTAGGGGGTGCCCAGCATCATGTTGGCTTCTTGCTGCTCAGTTGGAGGAGGGAAGGGAGCCCAGTGCCTTTGTGATTTTGGGGAGCAGTTCTCGAGTTCCTTTACATTATCTGGTCCTGAAAACCCATCCTTGAATGCAGCTGGAGAGGGGGCAGCACTGTTACTGGATCTGAAGAGGATCGTAGGAACAGAAATGAAGCAAAGGGATGAGACAGAGAAAGAGGAGGAAAACACCTGAGAAAGAGGCTGAATCAGGAAAGAGAAAACTCATAAAGAGGAGTCACAGCATGTGATTTGAAACCAAAGGGAGGATTTCCACTGTGTTCGGTGGGTTTGAATTGGGCCATAGCGAGAACAACCCATTGCATCATTTGACATTGCAAAATTAGGGGCAGCAGAGGGGAAAGCACAGTCTTTGAAAGAGACAGAAGGGAAACCTCTGCGGTCTGGGGAGCTTTTTAAGGGTCTGGAAGAGCCGGTCTCTTGGCCAGGCTGTCAGTGCAGCATCAAGCCCTGCATCCTTGCCCGGGGGGTTCTTCAGCAAGCTCAGCACGTGTGTGGTTGGGAACCCATTTCAAACCGCAGCAGGTAGGAGAGGAGGGAGGTGGGGATGGGTCCGTGTTGTGAGGACAAATCTCTTCAGCTCTGGTCATTGTCATGGAATTTAGCAAGGCTGAAAGGAGGGACCTCTCTCTGGGAAGCTTTTGTGGGCACAGTAGAGAGAATCCACTTGCATCCCAGCTGGAGAGCATTAGGTTCCCCCTAGACAGTGGATGGCATTTAGGCACTTAGAATCCTAAAACAGGGTTGGGAAGGACCTTAAGATCACCTAGTTCCAACCCCCCTGCCATGGGCAGGGACACCTCACTAAACCATATCACCCAACATTGACCACCTTAATCTCTAAGTGAGCTCCTAAGAAGCTGGCCAGGTTTGATGTAATCTGGGGGGACCTTGGAGATGGTTGTCTGAATGCATCATGTGTTAACTGCAGTGATGCACATGAGCCTGCATCCATCCCAGATGCACACACCACCTGAGATGAAGTCTGTGGGTGACTTCTCAGTGCCAGCCTGTTGGATTTCAGACATTCCTGCTCTGCTCATGTAGATCCAGGCTGCTTTCTCTTTTACTGACCCCCTCATCAGCTTTCATGCTCATCTGTTCCTTCCTAATTCCTGCCATCAGCTAATTGCATGGCCCTGGCTGCCCACATATCCCAAACTAACTTGCAGTACAGCTGCCAGTGCTGGGAACTGCTGCCAAAACAAGTAGGTTAGAAACCTGATGGGGATGTTTGATGTCCAAATCCTCTTGATTTCCAAAGGAAGGTTGGTGCCAAAAGTCTCTTTCAACCTTTCTTCATTCCCACACCTTGCATTAAGCCCTTGGATGCACACAGCTTCATTCTGTTCATCCCAGGGCTACAGCTCTTTCTTGGCCTTTCCCTGCCTCAGTTTCCCCATCTGGAAAGCAGTGGGGATGCTCTTGCTTGCTTTGATCTGTGCAGCTGCAGCCTCTCATACAGCATGGGGGTTTATGCTCTGGCCAGTAGTGTTTCTCTGGCTGGACACCAAGTTATCTGGAGGATTTAAGATTCCACGGTCAGCTGCTCACAGAAAGCTTTGTATGGAAGCATCATGGGATCAGAGCAGTGAGCTGACAACAGGGTCTACCAACATGCCCCAAGCAAGACGTGACTCAAGACCATCATCCAGCTAGGAAGAGATGGGGCTGCATGGAACTACATAGGTCTGAAATCCACCTTGGAGATGAGTAAACCTATTAGGTAGCTCTGGGCTCCTTACATGTAGGTGCTGGACCAGGGCCTGGGTGGGGGTTTCAGCTGGGGTTCATCAGAGCAATTAGTCCTGTTATTTATCCAGGAGGGATCAGTGCATTGCTGTTTTGGTGGTGGTGGAGTTGTGCTGTTGAGCTTGTCCCTTTGTTTTCCTCTCCAGTGCCCCAGCCCTGCCTGTCAAGATGCCCAAACCCAGCAAGGTGAACCAGGCCCTGGCAGGTAAGGATCCAGCTCTGCTTTACTTGCCCTGTCTGTAGGGTTGTGTGAGCAATCAAGTGGTTCAACTTCCTGTGGCACTTCCTCTCCTTTGTTAGTTTTTAGGCAGAGCCTGCAATGCTGCTGGCATTTTAGGTTTTAGGCCCAAAGACAGTGGTAAATGTGGGGGAGAATGGGATGGTCAAGCCTTAGGAATTGCTTTTCTCATTGGAGCTGGTCCTGAGGCTCTCAAAATGAGTGGGTTTATTTGAGGGCTGGGTACTCATCTTCTGCCGTGGATGAGCAGGTAGCAAGGGGGGAACACATGGATCAAGCTCAGTCCTACTTGTTACTTGCTCCTGCTTTTTAAAGCCAAAGGGAGGAGTGAGGTGATGTGTGGTTTTAAATATCACTTTTTTTTTAGCGTGGCTCTGTTAAAAAAGCTCAGATGGTTTTCAGGCTAAAGAAATGATTGTGATGTTTTGGGGGGAAAGGAGGGGCTGCAGGTTGAATCAGACATTGCCTCCTGTGGCAGCAGAATACAGGTTTGCTTGTTATCATCCAAGCCTGTGAATACAATACTAAATACACACAGGAGTGTGCCTGGGGGGGGTGAAAGTGCCACTTTTCAATGCTCCTTTTCAGAGTAGATTTTCCTGTTAAACATGAAAAGGTGCTGCCTTGCAAATGAAACCTCTTGCAGTGGAAGCCTTTCCATGCCGAAAGTTGTCAGTGGGGTATGCTCTGTTTTGACTTAGCAGCACCAGGGCCCTGGTATGGTGGTGCCTGGGGGTAGGGGTGTTCTGCTGAAAGCAGATTCTTCTCCATACTGCCATTGACTGCGCACTTGAAGTCATAGCGTTACCTGGGGGTTGAGGAGTGGGAAAGACCTGATGTATGGTGTTTTCTCTATCACTTTCAGCCACTATGCTTGATCTGTTAACCCTCTCCTTCCTCTGGCTCTTGTCCATGCATGGTCTATTGATGTTATTAGCTCCTTGGACACTGAACTTTGCTCCTGAGCAAGTGGAAGTAGTTGCATTCTCACTGCGGTTACCACTTTATCCCAGGCAATGTGGTGGTGTTTGGTCTGGTCTCGAGTGTCAGGCTTTTACCTTGCCTCAAAACGATACCCAGGACTGATGTTTCCAGTCATCTAATGAAAGCTGTGCCTTGCATGTCTCTATAGCCAAATAAGCACTGCATAAAGACTAACACTGGGGGGCATCTGGCAGCATGCAGCCCATCTGTCTCCCTGTTAGTAAATTAGCCTTTGTGGAAATGATGCATAAAGTCGAAGTGGGTGTCCTGAGCAGGACTCCCCTTGCTTATAAAGGCTCTGGATTTCATCCCCTGGCTGTTAGCACTGACTGTGTAATTAGGTGCTTAATCACATGAAGGTGCCTGCAGCACAGAGCTGAGGAGCCCTGGTGAATCCAGGCTGTGTTCATGTTGTTAAATGTGATCTCATTCTGCACATACAAGTCATCACGTGTTAATTTGGAAGAGGTGAATGCACGTGGTCCATGTTTAGGTACAAAAGGCTGCAGGAAAGCCCCAAATAAGCCTTTTGCTGCCATTTAATGAAGTTAAATGAAAAGGTGAAGCTTCTAATGGGTATCTCTGTTGTTGGAGGCTGGGGGTGCAAAAGAGGGGATCATTATTCATTGTAGTCATCTGTAGCTCTCCACAGGGCAGCTAGTGAGAGGCACAGGGTTACAGGGGGAGTGCAGAGTGCATGGGCTGAGCATGGTCAGAACAACTCTCTGGAGCCAGCATCTCCTTCAGATCCAGGTCTCCATAGGACACAGCTTTGAATGGGCGCTGTGCTGCTGTCTGCCCAGTGTGACAGACCTCAGAGGTGCAGCAAGCTTTGGATTAGAGTGTCCTTGCAACTGCATAGAAAGAGAGGAAAGATCTGGACAAGTTAGTGAGGAAAAAGGGGAAATAAATCTCTGGGGATGTTTCTGGTTAAAAGCAAGCAGAGGAGCTCTGGTAAGAGAGCAAAATTTTATTGAGACATTAATTGGCTGGGTCTTCAGGCCCCATTCTTTCCCTGTTTCCACTCTGCTTCCAGAACCTCTTCTGGGAGGTGGTATTTTGCTCGTATTTAAGATGCTGCAGATGGTGTGACAGTTCCTTATTGTTCAGGTTGTTCTCTAACACACAGGCTGCCTGCTGCATGACTGCTTCCTTCAGCACTGAGGCAGGAAGGCTGGGGACCCAAGGGCTCTGTGATGATATGGGGGAAAGAGGGCAGTCTCAGATGTGAACTGAAGAAGGCTTTATGCTGGGAACCCTTGGTCTCCATCCTGAGATGCCTCTCAGCAGCTTTGCCTCTGGTTTGAAGCAGGCAAGCCAACCCCCTTGAATCTTATGGGTGATGTTGAGAAATGCTGCAGGTGCATCTCTTGGATGCAGAGGCATCTTCTGGTGGATAAACAGGAAACAAGGGATCCTGTGGCTCCAAGTGAGAAGCTGGGTTTTGTTTGTGTGATGACTGCCTGGGGATCTAACACTAATTCTTCTAACAGCACCGTGATTTCTTTTTCCTTGCTTTCTGCTGGTTTAATGCTCCAAGGTGCATGTGGAAACTTGCCCTTTAAGCTTTGGTTTTCCTTCCCTGACTGTTTGGTTAGTGTGGTGAAATTGGAGAATAGAGGTGTAAGCCAACTGCTGAACCACAGTGGTGGTGGCGAAGGATCAGCTGGACTAGAACCCCTTGGGAATAATGGAGTTCAGGTGCTGTGTGTTGGGCTGGGGTTGGATGAGGCAGACACATGAAGGCCCTTTTAATACTGGTTTTAAGATGAAGGCTGGAAATGAGCTTTTTGGTTAAATGAAACCAGGTGTTTCTCATCTGCATGTTTCCTGGAGCTGGGGTCTTTAGGAACATCCTAACCATAATAGCTTTGCTAGTGGATATAGTTGCACTGATTAGCAATGCTTTTCTGAGACCTCATGTTATTTGAAGGTAAGCTCTGTCCTTTCCCCTTTACCTGCTTAAATCAGGACTGGAACCAAAGGCATACCAGCGTGAGGTGTGTGACCACACTGGGTATGTGAGCAAGTGTGTGGTTAATGCTCATCACGTTATGTAAGGGTGTGTTTTCCTACACTCAGCTTCTGCACAGGATGTTACAAAAGGTCCTTATTTGCACAGCAGGCTGAGAAAAGCTGGTGGATGTTGTCATAGCTCCAACGAAACTCATTGTACCCCAAGGAGTCAGTGATGTGCTTCTGGCCTAATAGGTGCTTTGAGGCAGAACTTGGAGTGCTCATAGGATCAGATCAGGAGCCAAAGGATGTTTTGCAAGGCCTTCTGTCTCTTCCCTCATGCAGTCGTTGCAGGGATGAAGCCCAGTGGCCAGTGGGAGGTGGGAACATATTAAATAGTGCTTTCTCAAGCTCCTGGGGTAAATAATGAGCAGCAAGAGCACATGGATGCCCCAAGTAGTCTTGGTTTGGGCAGGCTTATCTTGCTGCAGTTTGGCCTTTGCATATACAGGTGAGAATCTGTCCAGGTCTGGAGCCACGTTTGTTCCTGACATCACTCCATGGATGCCTACAACAAGTTGTGAATTGAAAGGGTTGTGTCCACAGGTCAGAACTGGAGAGTCCATCTGCAGAGGTGATGTGTCCATGTATTGGTTTGGCGCTCATTGTGAACACACATACCCTTAGTGGGGACTCTTGTCACTGGAGGGTCGGTAGATGCTGAAATTTCCAGTGTTGTATTAGAAGTTTGAAGGAGACATTGCTGCTGGGTTGGGAGATGAGCCAGAAGAGCAACGTAACACTGGAACATCCCCTGTGTGAATGCTGTCTTGATTGGAATCTGCACAAGATGATTCATTGTGTCTCTCCAAAGGCAGTGGAAGGGAAAAGTGGAAAATGACCTTTTCTTGGCCAGTTTGTCCATGGGAGAACACTGGGTTCTGGTAGTTCTGGTCCCACGCTTGCCCTGTGCTGTGTGGAGTTGTAGATGCATTTGTAGCTCATAAAGTGAAAGCTGTCAGGTTAATTCCTTACTTTCCTTGTGATGATTCATGATGCTGGCAGGCAGGTTTGGACATGTTAGTCCAGGTAGAGAGGGGCTGTGTTAGAGTGACTGCGCTCAGCTGAGGTTCTGTGGCTCATGCTCTTCACTTGGTTTTTGAAGGCAGTGCTCTGTCCACCAGCATCAAGAGCCTGAAGTCAGTGCAGCCTCTGCTTCTGTCATGTTTCTCTCTGAAATGGGCTAGTGTTAGCTCGATAGTATTGATCTCTTGAGAAGGAAGCATCAGGTTTGCATTTGCCTATCAGTCAGCTGTGTGTAGGTGGGCTTGCTTTTCAAACGTCAGTCCCTGCAGTCAGTGCTATCACACTGCTTAGGAGCAGGTTTATGGAGACAAGTTCATGGTCTCCTTTTCTGCACTACTTTTGGGGAACTGCATTTTGCAGCTTGGTGGGATCAAGCTCTTTGAGATGTGCAGGTTGGACACAGGAGCTTGGAGCAACCTGCTCTAGTGGGAGGTGTCTCTGCCCATGGCAGGGATTGGAACTGGATGAGCTTAAGGTTCCTTCCAACCCAAACCATTCTATGATCTCCTCCAGCACCTTGATAAGCAAGAATATTGTTGCTCCAAGTTCTCTAATCAGTGTGAATGGGTACTGCACACTTCTGCCCTTTAACCTGCTGAAAGAGGAAGGGCCCTACCTGGTGTATGTGGTGGCAGCTTTGGTGCTGTTGCTGGGTTTCAGTTGTACTCATTCAAAAACCAAGTGGCTCTTGTTATGGGAACACTTCAGCTCCTAAGGCTTGTGGGTGTAAATGAAGGACTGCTAGCTTAGGCCCAGGCTGAGAGCACAGAATAGCCTTGTGGCCTTTAGTTCAAGAATTAAAGGAAGATATTTGGATTGGAAAACTTCTGGATCTGATGCTTGGTTGGAGGCCTGCTGGCTTGTACTGATGACAGGGTCTCTCCTGTGCTGTACGTGCTGGGAACAGCCCTGTGCTGTCAGCAGGGTGAGGGGTACTAACCCAGTGTCTGCATAGACTGGATGCTCTCCAGAGATCCCTTCTAATCCCAACATTCTGTGAGCAGGTTCTGGAATATTTATTGTACTTGGACCTTACATGAAGGAGGTACAAAACGTGGTCAGTGCTGTGCAGGGACAGTTCTGCTTGTAGGCATTGCCACAGGCTTTGCTCGGGGGGTTTCTAGTCACCAGGCACAGGTTCTTACAGTTGCATAGCTGAGGCAGAAAATAGCCTTACCACTTGCACACCAAGCTGCTGCTTCCTGTCACAGCTTGGTTTTCAGTTGTGTGTGTGGGCAAGGTGCCTCATTTTTGTCCTCAACAAATGTGCTTTTAGATCCTTCCTTTCCCAGCCTGACTGGAAAACGAAAACCTTTAGAAACCTCAGCTTTGGCTGTGAATTCCTGTGCAGGAGTTGCCATAGCATTAGGATGTGGTTTTTTGCATGGTCTGCTGTTGGGGAAACACTGAGTTTTAGGCTGTGTGTTGGTCTGTAGCCATAAGTGTTTTGGTTTAGTTCTAATGATGCTGTTGCAGGTGGGAATTCACTTCTTGGGAAAGCAGAGGCAGGTGTGTTACTGAGTGGAAGCTGAAGAGCAATATGCTAGCTTAGACTTGCAACCAGCCTCTATTTCACAGGGAAGCATCATTAGATCAGCATGATCAGTCCTGTAGCTCTCTTTGTGCCAATTTTACCTGCAGGGAATGGCTGTCCCTTTTAATGATTCATTAGCTTGAACAACCTGCATCCCATGAATACAGCTGCCTGCGATGGATGGGGCGTGTGAGAGTTGCATGGCAGCTGGGATGCTAGAGAAAACTGATGTGCCAGGGAGGAGATGGTGTGGGGTGAGTTGGAGGCTGCTTTGGCAGGGGGTTCAGTGGGGCAGCCCCACATTGCTGCAGTGTTTGAAGGCAGTTAAGGGGTTCAGCCAGTGTGGTGATGTTGAAACCTGTAGTTTCAGGGAGGAGTGAGCAGAACCATTAGGAGTTACGGGTGATGTCCCCAGGGTCAGGGCTGCTTCCAGGGCTCCAGTGAGCAGGACTTTGCACCACAGCGTGCTCAATACCCAAAGAGCCCTAAAGCCAAGGCACAGAGGAGGCTCCTGTTCACACACCAGCACAGAGGCTCACGGGTGAGACTCGTGCCTGCATCTCCCTACATCAACTTGCTGCTGGGCTCCTCCCTCTGAAAGCCTCTGCATCCTGTCCCTGTGCTGACCCCAACCCCGCTGCCTCTCAGGTGTTTGATGTCCTCTGAATCAAGGGCTTGGGTTTTGGTTTTGTTTGATCTTTTGATTTCCTTTTGCAGGGTTAAAGGTGATGTTAATGATCGTGTCTCCCCGTTGTTCCCTTCCCGCATGTCGCTCTCGTACCCACTGTAGGCATGACGGCTATTCTGATGTCAGCCGCTGGACTCCCCGTGCACCTCACCTGTGTGCCGCAAGCTGCCAGCACCCATAAAGCCACTAAAAAACACAGCTCAGTTAAGGAGGGGAGGAAAGTGTCCAAGAAAGGTAGTTCCTGCTCAAAATCTGATATTTGCTTCCATCTCCTTCTCTTTATTATCTCTCTGCACTCGGTCTGCCTCCCTCCTTTCCTCTTGTCTCTTCCTCCCCAACCCTCGTGGCTCTTCTGATGTGACTGATGGTGTTTGTCAAGGGGAGAGGTAGGACGCTTCTCTGTGTGGTCTCTGACAGGCTGTAAAAGATGATGATGTAGACCCAGTCCTATGGTAGCTCTGCTTGTTTCCATCAGTTACTGAAGCTGGAGCAGCCCACTTGCTCTCTGTGTATGCTGGTCTCCTGCAGTCTCCCCCATGGTCCTGCTACACCTCTTGGGGAGCCCTGGACATCCACGTACCAGGACTCACTGGTGGGACAAGTCTGGGAGCTGAAGGAGCATCAAGGAAAGCATTTAATCTATACCTGCTCCCAAAAGGCTTGCTTGTGAGCCACGCTTGTCACTGAGTCATGGGGTGAGAGGGATCTTCCAGACAAGCAGGACTGAGTCATACAGGGCTTGCACGGTTGGATTGCAGAGGACTTGTTCTCTGTCTGGAGTGGAAGGGGCAGGAGCACTCCCAGGTGGATGGGCTGGGTTACTCCAGCTCTCCTGCTGATCTGAGCCACCTCCAATGTAGGGCCTTCATTTCTCCTCTTCACATCTCACTGGCGTCCTGCACCCTCACCCTTCCAGAGTCTGTGTCTGAGCCAGTTTAGAGTCTGACTGCTGTCTGTGTGTAGCATCCCTGGGACTCTGCAGGGGTAGGTGTGGATCCAGCCTGGTGTAGCTATAGAAGCTGTTTGCCAACTCTGGCTTAGGTGTCCTTCCTAAGGTGCTTGCCCATCAGATAAGTGAAGGGGGGGGAACTAGAGTTTGGGGGGTGTTCAACATGGAGATGCTTGTGTTGAAGAGAGGGAAGAGCCCTGAGGTGGAGGGGAAGAGGCTCCCTGCCTGTCTGGGGAGTTTGTTGGTGGCAGCATCTCTCTTCTTGGAGTCCATGAGGTCCAAACCCATCTGAAAGAAGGAGGGAGGGTGGTAGCAGGAGAATAGAAGTGAAATGTGGAGGGAGGAAATGCATTATGGAGAGAGCTGGGAGGAGGAGATGCGAACACAAGAGCAAGTGTGGAGTAGGATGTGTGAGAGAGGGGGAGGAGAAAGCAGGGGGTGGCTGGAGAAGCAGCAAAGAACAGGAGGAGCAAATGAAATGGGAGGTGAAGAAGAGTGGAGGTGGGTGGCAGAGGGTGAGGATCTCACTCCAGAGCCAGCTGGTGAGGCAGTGGGGTAATGCAGCTCCTGGTGCTTCATTTCCAGCATGGGCAGCATCAGTGCAGCCCCTCTGCAGCAGGGATGAGGTAGGATACCCTGGAAACAGGGCCAAAATGGAGCTGTGGAGAGGCCAGACCCTACCACACAAGCATTGCCTTGTCCCTGTCACTGGAGGAGCACAAAAAGGAGATGTTGGTACCTTGCTGGTGGAGTGAGATGGGGAGAGCAGCTCTACAGAGCATGGAACTGGGAGGATGGGACATGGTGGGTGAGAGCAGTACACACCACGTTAGGAACCCGTGTGAGGAGCAGAGGGGTGGCTGTGGCTGTGGCTGTGCTGGGTGTTACACAGCCCATCAGCAACACCTTTACCTCCATGAGATGGGGGTTCCTCAGTGCTTGCAGTAGCACACACGTGTTGCCTGCTGGGGCAGGTGAGCTGCACCTTGGGCCTAGGCTGGGTGTGCTGGGGCAGTGCTGGCATCAGCCTTGGTCCCAGTGCCAGCATCCTGCCAGCTCACCAATGCCACCTGCTGGGCCTGGGACAGGGCACCAGCTCCTTCTCCTGTCTGGCATGGCAGGATTTGTCCCTCCTGCAGAGAGGAGACTGCCAGCTCTGCCCTTTCCAGCACTGACCTTTCAGGGCTGCCTTTGCAGGGGTTGGGTTGCTAAAATCCAATGATTGGGTTGCTAAACGATGCTAAAATCCAATGATTTGGATTGCTAAAATCCCCCTGCTCGTTACAGGAAGCAGGATGCCCTTTGCTGGGCGGGGATGCCAGTCCTGACTCTGCATGACTTAGGTTGAAGAGGGTGCTCAGTCCTTCCTAGGAACAAGTTGTGTTTGTACAACCCTCCTCTGGGATGAGGAACATTGTTCCGCAGTGCAAATACTGAGCCTGACTCTTGGCCAGACTGTTCTGTTTCTCTTTACAGACCCTGAGGCTGCCAACAGGCAGAGATGGGCCCTTTTTGTGCCCTGAGTTTCTGCATTGTGTATCCTTTCCCTCCCACATCCCTCTAGGGTTTTCCGTGATGAGTTGTGAACCAGGAGCAGCCCCATCGGTGTGCTCAGTACAGCCAGAATAGGTGGGTGCTGGGTGCAGTGCACCCCTCTGAGCCCCTCCGGGTGCTGCAGCCCCTGGTGCCACACAGGCAGCATGGATGGAATAGCAGCCAGCTCAGTGCACAGCTGAGCTTGTTAAACAAAGGCACTAATTAGGCAGGCCACGTTAATTAGCACCGTTGGTGTTCTGGCACTGATGTCTGCACTGTGGGTGCTGCAGGGCTCTGGGCAGGCTGCTGTGGGTGCTGGCACACAGCCTGGTGGTGTCTGCCATCCTGATGGATCAGCGCTGCCTTCCCGCTGGCTGCCATGGAGCTGTGCTTCCTCAGGCTCCTCCTGCATTGCTGCCTTGTGCTGGGGATGCTGATGGTGTGCCTGGGGAGGGAGCTGCTTGGCTCGCTCTCTCCAGGCTCTGCTGTGCTGCTCGGGCATGGAGCTGGGCACTGCAGGGCTCCTCTCCTTCCCAGGGCCATGGTTGGGCTTGATCTTAAAGGTCTTCTCCAACCTGGTTGATTCTGTGGAGGGATTGAAGGAAGAAGGGGTTGGTTTGGGTCTGGTATGCACTTCTTGGTCGGTGATATCGCTTCTCCCCTGGCTTGGGGCCTGCAGTGGCACGGAGTGCTGTGGTACAGAGGGGAGAGATGAGCACTCATCCTTCCCTGCCATGCAGGATGGGATCTGCCTAGGCAAGGGGAGTAGGCCCAGCTGATTCTGATTGCTCCCTGTACGTCCAGCTGTCTGCAGCTGGTGTGCAGACTGTGCCAGTGCCTATGGAATGGGTGGGAATGGGGCAACCCTTGGAGGCTGGGAGCTCGCTGCTCCCATAGGGGACCATCGGCAATAGCAGGGATGCTCTGTGCCACAACCAGAGCAGCCTGGTTGCTTGGTTATCCTGCTGGAATGTGAAATGGGGAGAAACTTCAAATCTCCTCTGACCTTCCTGATCCCTGGGAAGTTGGGGCCAGTAGATCCAGCTTTTCCAAGTCCAGAGGGCAGAGGTGATCAGGGTTGGGTGATTATCCATGACAATGACTAGAAGCATCCTTTGTCTGGCCTGCAGAGGGTACCAAAGAAAGCCTGCTGCTAACCATATGGCTCACTTTGGGATACAGAAGGAGGCATGTTACTGCTGCAAGCACTTGGTTGCCACGCAAGGATTCAAAACACATCTGTTAAATGTTGCCTATGGAAAGCCCTTGCTTCAACAAGAAACTTTTTAACTACAAGGAGGAAGGGGAAGCATTAAAGAAGTTATTCCTCTTTTTGTAAATGGAAGGATGGCAAAAGCTCTTACAAATCCTGGATACATCAATAGCACAGCATTAGGCCAGCTGGTGGTAAACAGGACTGGTCAGTTCTGATACTGTATTTTCAATTGCTATTGAATCCAGGAAACCCTGGGCACTGAACAGGCTTTGATCCCAAGGGATGGCTAGAACAAAGATTTGGAGACAGACACTTTGATGGAGCAAATGGTCCAGTAAGGAATTGATTCATGCACTGGAGCACATGTGGCTAGTGCCTTGAAGGGTCTCACAGATGCTTTCTAGCTCCTTGTGCTGGGATCTGGTCTGCCCAGGGAAAAGCCTCTCTGCAGAGCCAGTGGAGGCTGTGTGGGCTTTGCTGCCCTTGCTGAAGCCAAGTTCTCAGCATCAAGAGGCTTCCTTGGGAACAGGCATTCAGATACTTACAGCTGGGCACAGATTCTCCTCAAGCATCTGAACTCCTTTTCCCTGCGCAGACAACCTTGGTGGAGCTAAATGCCCCACAGCATCATCACTTCAAAGTGACAGGAGCAGGTCAGAGATGCCCCAGTGCAAACCCATCAGACATGGGGTTTCCTAAGGATGCCTGAGGGCTGCATCACTCTCCTCTGCGTGTCTTCATCCCGGTGCCAACTGGTGAGGTGCTGTGATGCCATTTGCTTTGCCCGAAATCCCTGTTGTACCCCACAAGAGCTTTCTTGGCCTCACTCTTACCCAGCTCTGCCCCAGGGCTTTCATCTCCTTTCGCTGGTTTGATTTGGATGAGGCTGATCAGTTCTTGGGCAGATCATTCTGTTTCTCCGAGCTGCTGCAGAGGAAGGGAAATCAACAGCAAGAGGAATGCACAGCAAGGGCTGCAGGGAAGGAGCATCCTGATGGAGGTGAACTGCTCTAAAGCTGCTCAGATCTGTGCAGCTGGGAGTGTTGTGCCAAGTCCAGGGCAGGCGTTGCTCTGGTGTTCATTCTCTCTGCTCGCTGCCTTCACCTTCTCTGTGCAACTTCTTGGCACTGCTGTCCTCAGCTAGAGGAGACAAGAAGGTCACTTCAGAAAGAGCTGACTGGAAAGCACGGTTCAAGTGGAGAAGGACCTGGCAAGCTGCACAGGATCCTCGGGAATGAGGCTGTGGTTGTTGCCATCGGATACTCATGGAAGCAGATGGATTTATGGCAGGTAGCAGCTGGCCCTGCTCATGTGGTCATCTCCAAAACCTGCAGAGAAGGAGAAGCTGTCCCTCCATCTCCCCTGTAACCATGAAGGTCTCTTGTGACTGCAAACCAGAGCCTGGTTCCAGCTGCCACATGTGGAAAGTGCCACCCTGTAGTGGGGACATCACCTGGGAGCTTGAAGGGCTTCAGGCACAGTAAGCACCAAGCTGAACTCTGACCATGACCTGAGGTTCAGACTGATCACATCTCATAACTTATTCCTGCTGCCAGCTCTTGATCTGCTGTGTGTGAGCAAGATCTCAGCAGAGAGTATTCCTGGACCCATTTTTCTCCATTGGGAAAGACAAGACCAGGAGCTGTGTTCCCTGTGAGGCCTGGTGATGAGGCCTTGAAATAGCTCCTGGCAGTGCTGAGCTCTTGCCCTGAGAGCCGGAAGGCTGAGGCTTGCCCAGGCTCCTGTTTGTCTCCTGCTCTTTCTTGTATCAGTTCTTGGAAGTGCTTTTCCAGGGGGTCTTGGCATGCTCCTGAAGTGGAGAACACCCGCTTCCGTGTGGATCTTTGGCTTAATGCTTATTGTATTCTGTTACCACCTTCCTGGTAAGGGCCTCCAGAGGGTGATCCTCACATCCCTGCTCTGCCTGAGATGCTGAGCATCTCCTCTCCTGCCCAGCACCAACCTTCAGAGGGAGCATCCCTTCACCTCCTGAGCTCCTTTTCTTACTCTGTGTGCTCAGTCATCCCCTTGTCCTGCAGCTGCTGCCAGAAGTCATGCCTTTGAGGCTGGCCAGGAATCCTGTCTGAAGACAGCTCACCTGAATGGCTCTCATTTAGGGAAGGCTGGCTCCCAGTCCATCCGCCTGCCTTACCTAACTGGTTTTCCACCCACATCAGTGCCCTGCCTCACTCTTCTATTGCCCCAAGCTAGTCTGTCTGCAGTGAGGAGGCATCTTTCCCCTGGTTGCAGCTCCCCAGCTCTCTGTGCTGCAGGGTGCCCTTGTGCTCTCTCTTGTGGGGCCCTCATAGCACAGGCTGCTTCTGGCTGTCACAGATCTGCTGTCATACAGGTCTTTGCCTGTTTAATGACACCCATGGCATGTGAGCTGTGCTTCCCTTCTGCTTCACTGTGTTTGCCTCCACCACAAGAAGTGGTTACCATCAAATAGCACCCACACCTTCCTGCTGGTGACAGACATTGCTTTCCTGGGGGAGCAGAGCAGCTCAGTGGTGGCTCCAGTGTAGCCATCTCTTGATGCACAGCTGTTTCAACCACAGAGTCAATGCTTGGGAACACTCCATCTTCTTTGAAAGCACCGAAGTGGATGGGGAGAGCTGAAGATGCCTGTTGTGCAGGTACACCCACAGCCTGACTGTTGCATGGGGTGATGCTCTGTGTCCATCTGGGAGCATGGAGTTTGGAGTACCAGCACTCTCTGTGCTAAAGCACATGTTCTGCTTGAAGCTGCTGTGCTAACACTGATGTTCTACAGTGGCTTAGAAACCAACTTGAGAGCAAAGCTCTCTGGAGTACAGCTCCCTTGTGAGGGGTGTTGGGTGCAGGTATTTGTGTCTGGCTGCTCCCTGCTCTCCATCCTGGTACTGGCTGGCCAGGATGGAGAATAGAGAAGGACCTTTGCCAGCCTGTCCATCACTGCTTTTCCCCCTAGAAGCAGATGCGGGAAGGAAGAGCGAGATTCCCCCCGGAGCCAAGTGACAGGCCTCTCTTTTGCCTCCTGTTATGTGGAGCCATCAAGTCACTTGTGCTCATGTTTCCTTTCCTAGGCTGGTGGAGGAGCCTGGCAGCCTCCGTGACGGGCCTGATGACCGGTAAGGAGCTCCCCTCCGGGGCCGGGTGCCGTGCGGAGGCACGCGATGCTCGCTGCCTTAGGACAAGCCTTACGGGGCAGCTCCAGGAGGATGGGCTGGGAGTCGAGGTGTTTGCTTGTGCTCTCAGTGGGAACTTGCTCTGGGTGTTGTGTCGTGTGGGTTGTTAATCCTGTAATGGCTCCAAAGGGACTGAGGGGGCTGCTTGGGTGCCTGTGCCTGAACGGATAGGAAAATGTGACTGTATCAGTGTCCTGTGCTGCAAATAGGTACCTGTTAGAAGGCTGGTTTGATTTACATCCCTGTGACTTGCACTGTGTCTTGCTGGAGATGAGTGTGTAGAAGCTCAAGAGAAAGGGAACTGTTGTGTGTTCTGCCATGCTCTAAACAGGGCATGATGCTTAGCGTGTTGCTGGGTGTCCTGGTCAGGAGCCAGCTGGGGTGATGTGGGGATGGCTGTTCTCCTGTGACAACACAGGGGGTGTAATCCTCTCTCCCACTGAGACCATAGCGGCCTTGGGTTGAGTTTGGTCCTAGCTGGCCTCTGGTGTGCACAAAGAAAGCCCAGCTGGGACCTGGCTGGCATCATATGGGGGATGTGGAGAGACCTGGAGCACAGGGCACCAACAGGGCCTGTGGGATCTCCCATCAGCAGCACTCATGGTCCTAGCAATGGCCATTTCTGACAGCAAAGCCTTTGTGGGGCTTGCTGGGATCAGTTGGAGCAGCCTCTTCTTCCCCTCTAACCCTGACCTCTCTCCTTGGCATCCTGGCCAGTGACTTGCTTGTCTCCCTTCTCTCTGGTTCACCCTGCACATTGTGCCCATCATATCTTGTGCCACGTCTGATTTCTCTTCCTCTCTCTTTCTTCTCTCTCTCCTTGTGCAGCGACACCAACTGAGCCAGAAGCAGTGGTGAAGAAGTACCTGGAAGAGCTGAAGGGCTCTCCTGCTGATGAGGTGAGAGGGCAGTGAAGCAAACCCAGCTTGCCCAGTGGCCTCTTCACTGGGGTGCTGTGCAGACCATAGCAATGCATGAGGACCCTCCTTTGGGCATCCTGTGTGCTAGATGCTACTGCTTGCAGTGGCCCTGTTGGCACGACATGGAAAAGCTTCAGCACTGCCTGGAGCCCACATGTGGTAACTGGTGACCTGTTAGGGGACCTTGATGGAGAAAGCATGGTGTGGGTTGAAGAGCTAAACCTGGCAATGCCTCCCCATTTCCTTTGGAGATGGCTGCAGGGCCTGAGGTAGAGGAGGGAGTTTTGGGCTCTTCTCAGTGCTCAGAGATCAAACGCCTGCACTGGAGCTGCTCTGGAGAGGAGCAGGACATCCCTTTACTCAGTTCCCACTCATCCCCTATGCCTGGTGGCAGCTGTCTTCCTGTGCTGTCCAGGAGGTGACGGAGCAGGGCGATACCAGCCAGAGGAGGAAACCTATCTCTGTGCCCTTAAACCTCAAATTGGAGGGTTCAAGTTGAAGGCACATCGTCCTGCAGCATCTCCTTTATCCTTTCCTTGGTGGGTCAGTCATGATGAGCCTGCGCTCGTGCTACACAGTGGTTTTCTCCTTGCTGTCAGGACTGCATCATCTGCATGGAGAAGCTGTCCTCCCCATCAGGTTACGCCGATGCCTGCGAGTGCAGCACAATCAAGCCAGAGACTGTTGGTCGCCTGACAAGCTGCCAGCACTCCTTCCACATGCTCTGCATGCTGGCAATGTATTCCAATGGGAACAAGGTACCAAGCTGGCTTCTCCCCACCACATCTCCTGTGTCTGGGTGATGGCTGTGGAGCTCTGATGCCTGCTTGTCTCTCCTCACAGGATGGCAGCTTGCAGTGTCCCTCTTGTAAAACCATCTATGGGGAGAAAACTGGTACTCAGCCCAAAGGGAAGATGGAGGTGTCCACGTTCCCCCAGTCCCTCCCTGGCCACAGGGACTGTGGGACCATCCAGATTGTGTATCACATCAGCAGAGGCATTCAGGTGAGTGCACGGCCCTGCTGGGTGGCATGGGCTATGTGAGAGCCTCCCAGTGAAGCACTGGGTCCCAGTGCAGCACCTGCTGGAGCCCATCACTGAGCAGCCCAAGGTGCCAGCAGCTGCACTGGCTGTTCTTCAACCTATGGGTGACTTGGAAGGTCTTTACCTACTTTGAGAGTGGCTCCAGGGTCTACAAGAGCCTTTCACCTCTTGTAAAGACTGCTGCCTGTATGAAGCAGGGAGGAGACCCAGCCTGTGCTCACAAGGTGGGAGAGATCCCAAGGTCTGGTTTTACAACCCACATCTCTGGATTTGGTGGTTGCAATGAGCCTGCAAAGGTTTGAGCTGGGTGGATTACTTAGGGGGTCAGGAAACCACATGGAAAGAACTCTAGTTTGGGGCTTTCTTCCCACCAGAACTGGGGCAATCTGAAGGCTATCCCAGCATCTCCTCAAGGAGATGCTTTGTGTCCCAGTAGAAGATTGCCCTTGGAGGACCCATGTCCCATAAAAACAAGTCGAATCTCATACTCATCATCAGCAATCCCTTGCTCCTTTTACATGGAAGTGCTGGTTTGAGGTGTGCCTTCTGCTCATCCTAAATCCAACTCTTGAAGATGGATGTATCCATGCCAAATGTGTCTTATCTATTGCAGGGCCCTGAGCACCCCAACCCTGGGATGCCGTACACAGCAAGAGGCTTTCCTCGCTACTGTTACCTGCCAGACAACGAGAAGGGCAGGAAGGTGAGGAATTGCACCCTGATAACATGGCCCTTCTCACCTTGTCTCTTGGCCCAGGCTTGGTGCATCAGCACGACAGGGTTGCTTGGGGAGCTGTCCTCATGATGCTAACCAGCTCTTCTTGGTAGCTGTCCTCACTGTTTGTTCCTTATGTGTTTGTAATCCCTCTATTCCCATGCTGCTGTCTGACTGTGAAGACTTGTTCTCCCTCATCCCTTTACTAAACAAAATCCCATCTGGCCCTTTGGGAAGACACTCCTGGCCTCTCTTGGGCTGTGCAGTTAGAAGGGTTTGCGCTGTATGGCTCTTCCCATCCCCATGTCCTCTGGGTGGTGGGGTTTGTCCCACTTTGTGCCAGTGAACTCCTGGAAGACCAGCACATGTAGGGAATGGTCCTTTCCACTGGGACACCACAGGGGTGACTGGGAGGTGAAGGAGATCCCTTCTGATGCCGGGATCTTTGCTTTCCTCCTGGAGCAGGGATTTAGGTTGCCAAGCTTCCGGCAAGCTGCTCACGTGGCTCAAGTCTCCCACCCGCTGAAGCTTTGGCTTCTCCCTTCCCACCTCTAGGTCCTGGAGCTCCTGAGGGTGGCCTGGAAGCGCCGCCTCATTTTCACAGTGGGCACCTCCAGCACCACGGGCGAGAGCAACACCGTGGTATGGAATGAGATCCACCACAAGACTGAGATGGACACAAACCTCAGTGGCCACGGCTACCCAGACCCCAACTACCTGGACAACGTGCTGGCAGAGCTGGCTGCACAAGGTGTCACTGAGGACTGCCTGAGACAATGAACTGGGGGGGGGGGGGGGGACGACACACACACGACCTGGCTGTGCCACCTCGTGCACTTATTCCTGTTGCCTTAAGTTCCTGCCCGTCCCACTGAGCAATAACTGCACTGCAGGAGCTCTGCCGGCTCCTGCGGTCTCCTTTTGGGCTGAGGGAAGGGTATTTTTGTAGAAACTGCACTTGTGTCTCTGTGTGGGGTGGATGGGGACAGCCAGGATGGGCTGGGGCAATGGGCATGAGGTGATGGAGCCCCTTGTGAAGGCAGGAGCTCACCCTGGTGCTGGCTGGGGACAGGGTGGGGATAGGGGAGCATCTTGCTCCCGTTAAACCACCTGGAAAGCAAATAATGGCCTCCCTTGCTCACAGCAGCTCCCTGTCCATGGGGCACCTCTGAGGGTGAAGCCTCCTGCCCCTGTGCCAGCTCGGTTGTAATAAAACACTTCATTTCCACAGCCAGCCCTTGCTTTCCCTTCAAGCTACCTGGGGGCTTGGGCTGCCTCCCCTCTTGGTGGCTCTCTAGGGGACCAGGCTGCTCCCTGGATCCGGGGACACTCAATCCAGCCAGGGGAAAGGGGGGAAAGCTCAGCCCTGCTGGGGCAGGGTTTGGATGCAGGGAGGAGGCTGCTGTGCTTTGTGTGCTGCAGGGGCTGCTGGTGCCACCATGTGGTGACGGCCCCCTTCCTCTGCTGCCGTGGCAGGGAGGAAAGAGGGATGGCAGGGATGCTTTCCAGCAGGAGCACGCTCCTGCACCGTCAGCTCTGGCTATTCCAAAGGGGATGTTGCCCCAGTCCTGGTGGCTTTGCTGCGTGTTGTCCCCTGGTAGCTGGAGCATATCTAAGAGCTGTTTCTGGCCACCAGCCCCACATCAAATCCCTTTGGCACATCAGAGGCCTTGGTGCATTTGCCATCTTGCCCGCTTCATGGGAGAGCAGGGATGTGGTGGTGCTTCATGGTAGCTCTGTCTTGTCCTCCTGCAACCAGCATGTCCTGGTCATGCCGATACAAAACCAAGGGGGGTCTGGAGCTGTCAAGGGCTGGGTCTGTCCCTGTTGTTCATCTTGTACTTGCAGTCTCCTGCTTCCCCTCTGTCAAAAGGCTTTAGGGAGAAAACCCTCAGCCCTCTGGTGCAGTTCAGGGATGCTGCAAGGACGGAAGCTCCTGGAGCAGCAGGTGGGTGCCTGCGTGCTGCTGCTCTCTGCCCCAATGGGCTCTGCCTGCTCCTCTCCTGCCCTGATTGCGGAAGGGAGAGGTTTCGAGTGCAGACTTCAGCTTTTTTTCCACCCTCAGCTCCAAACTGCAGTGGAAACAGAGCAGAGCTTGCTCAGCCCTGCACAGAGCCAGAATTTCCTGCTCCCTGTGCCCAGGGCAGCTCCTGCAGGTGCTGCGGTGTGAATCAGCTGGAGCCTCCCTGCTGCTGGGCTGGTCGGGCTCTGCTGCTGTCACGATAGGAGTGAGGCATCTCCTAAAGCCCTTCCCATGTCCAGGGTGCTCTTAGACCCTCTGATGAGGGGGTACAAGTGGTGAAAGGGTGGAAAGCAGCAGAGCCCAGGGACCATGGTGGGGAGATGCTTCAGAGCTGGTCCCTGCTGTACCCTGGGGCAGCATCTGGTAGAAGAAGATTCCAGGGCCCCTGTGCCTTGGAGCTGGAGGGGACAGAGCCTGAATCAAGTGCTTCTAATGCTACCAGACAAGTCTGACTGTGCTGGGTGTGAGCCAAGCCTTGACCCCACAGGAATGCTGGTACCAGCACTGAAACTGTGACTCACGGTCCCCCTGCGTCACACCCGGAGAGCAACAGGGGGGACCAAGGGGGCAGATTGGGGCTGGCACATCCCCATGGGCATCTGCTGCCAGAGGGGACCTTGAGGCAGGAAGATGGGGAATGAGGCAGGGATTGGAAGAGGGAGGAGGGATGAGGGCTGCAGCTGGATGCTGTAATCTTTGGATGCCCCATTTCCACTTAATCCGAAGGCTTTGTCCCAGCCCCTTTGGGAAGGCGGGGGAATCCCTTCCCACACAGCCACTGCCCTTGGCAAACACCAGAGAAGGAGCACTTACACCCTCTGCAATGGGAGCAAGTGGGGGGAGAATGGGGAGGGCTCTGGGCCAGCCCCATTGCAGGGTCACAGGTCCTGTCCCGGGGGATCAAGGTGCTCTTCCCCAGCACTGGATGGAAGGGGCAGTGTCAGTGTGGGGTGCCCCTGGCACAGGGTGGGACAGCTCAGCCCTGCACATGGGTGGGTTGGGTGAGCTCAGGGTGTGATGGCTCCCGAGCACTCCCTTGCCCTTGGCCAAGGCTGCCTGCACCCGGAGCCAGCAGGCACATCCCTCATGCTCAATGGGCAGGAGGCATGCACAGGGTGCCAGGGCTCGGTGTGGGAGCAGGGCCACTGCTACGGCTGCATCTATGGCCACAACCATCCTTGAACACGGCTCCGGTGCCTCCTTCCTACCTCTGTTTCTCTTTGAAATAGAATCACAGAATGGGTTGGGTTGGAAAGGAACTTTAAAGCTCATCCAGTTCCAACCCCTGCCATGGGCATGGACACCTCACCCTAAACCATGGCACCCAAGGCTCTGCCCAACCTGGCCTTGAACACTGCCAGGGATGGAGCATTCACCACTTCTCTGGGCACCCTGTGCCAGGGCCTCAGCACCCTCACAGGGAAGAACTTGCTCCTTATCTCCAACCTAAACTTCCCCTATTCCAGTTTGAACCCATCACCCCTTGTCCTATCACTACAGTCCCTGATGAAGATCCTTCCCCAGCATCCTTGTAGTCCCCTTCAGACACTGGAAGCTGCTCTCAGGTCTTCATCAGCTTCTCTTCTCTAGCCCCAGTTTTCTCAGCCTGGCTCCGTATAGGAGCTGCTGCAGCCCCTGAGCATCCTCCTCTGGACTTGCTCCATCAGCTCCATGTCCTTATGCTGGAAGCACCAGAACTGCACACAATGCAGGCAGGATCTCACATCGTTGCCTCTGCCCCCCACCCTCACAGCGCTCCCTGGTGCCTCGGCTCCGGTGTCCATTGGGATGGCTCCGGAGGGGTTTGGTCCCCGCTGACCCGGGTGGTGCAACCGTTTCCCCTTTGCCGCGGGGTCCGGTGGGGCCGGCAGAGCTGGTGCAGGAATGCTGCTGCGCTGGGAGGGCCCAGCTCCGGGGGCAGCTCATCCCCTCCACACCGGGACACAGCGAGCAGAGCTGGGACCACGCCATGGAGCTGCTGCTGCTGGTGCTGGTGCTGGCTGGGACGGGCACAGCCACGGGCCTGGGTGACTGCTGCGGGGACAGGGGCTCGGAGGGCTTCAAGGGTTCCCTATGGGTCTGTGTGCCGGGGAGGGGGTTATGGGCTGGGCACGGCTGGGGATGCTCATGAGGATGCAGGATGGGGTCAGCACTTGCTCAGCGCCCGCTCCCGCAGCCCTGCTGCCCTACGTGCCCCACGTACCCACCGCGGCCCTGCCGGGGAAGCTCACGGCCACCACCTTCGCTCTGGAGAGACCCTGCTGCATCTTCGACCACGAGGCCAACGCTCCCGATGCCGTGTGGCTGGTGGTGGCGTTCGCCAACGGTGAGTCCCGCTGCACCAGCACGCGCTCCCTCCCCATGGGGATACAGGGACCCTCACCCCCATGGGTGCTGTGCAGCCTCGGGTGCCTTCAGGAACCCCCCGTCCCGTGCTGACGTGCCCCTGTACGAGCGGCTGCCCACGGCGCACTCCTACATGACGCTGGAGACCCCAGTCCATGCCTTCGCCTGCTCAGCACCGAGCCCAGCCCCACTGCGCGTTGGGGGGGACACAGCATGCGAGGGACAGGAGCCCTGCAATGGGCCCCTGCCCTCCCCCGGGCCATACAGGTGAGGCTGGCAGGATGGGACCCCTAAATCCCACCCCGGGTAATTCCAGACTGGATTCAGGGGGTTGCAACTGGATGAACTTAAGGTCCCTTCCACCCCAAACCATCCTGTGATTCCATGATTCTATGTGCACATCCCACCCCTGGTGTCACCACCGCTCCCATCCCACAGGGTGAAGTTCCTGGTGATGGGCTGCCACGGCCCCAGAGCAGAGACAAGGTGGTCTGAGCCCATCCTCCTTCGCAGAGGTACCAGTGGCACTGCTGCCCCACAGCATCAGCCCTATGCCATCACCCCAAAGCTTGTCCCTCCCCTTCCCATCGCACCATCCCTGTTACCCCTCATCCCATCTCTTTCCAGCCAGCAGCCTGAGCACCATCGACCCCGTGCCCCTGCACCGCAGCAGCGCCGTGGTGGTCATCACCTCCATCCTCGCCAGCCTGGGGGCCGTGCTGGCCGCCGCGGTGCTCGGTGCCGTGGGGTACGGGTCTGGATGGGGACATGTCCATGGGGATCCCGAGGGGACACCCCCTCCTCAGCCCCATCAGCAGAGAGATGGGGTTAACCTTTAAAGAGCCTTGATTTACTTGAACTGGGGGGGGGGGCTGCCATAGCTTGCTGAGGAGAAAGGGCCCCCGGCTGATGGTTGGAGTTGGGGGGAGCCAGCACAGCCCCCCAGACCCCAATTGACACCTCTGCTCCTCTCTCCTGCAGCGCCAAGGCGTGGGGGTCCCTGCACCGCCGGGATTCAGGAACCAGCACCCACAGATCCTACAGGACCCATCACATCCCCCCAGCGCTATCCCGGCCCCCCGGATGCCGCTGCAGCCCCCCGGGGCTGTGCTGCTTTGCCCCCCGGCCCCCTGCTCCGTGTCCTGCCGAGTAAACTCTCACTTCACACCCGCATTGCCTCCTCCTCTGTGGCCAAGGGAGGATGCTTCGGGGCGCCGGGTCCCCCCAAAACCCACCCGTGGGCGGGGTTGGTGGCACTTGGTATTGGGGTGGGGGGGGTGCTGTGTCACTCGTGCCGTGAGCGCGGCTGTTCTCAGCTCGCCCGCCGCGGGCGCTCACATCCAGGGGATGCTCCCTGGGGAAACGGGCTGGACCAGTTCGCCACGGGGCTGTGGCCAGCGCTGGAATGCGGGTGGTTGGGGCCGCAGGCGGGTCTGGTGGGGACACGGAGCTCACCCGCCCGCATTGCCGCCCTCGGCACCCAGGAGCCCGCACGATGCTCCCGCTGCTCCTCCTGCTCCTGGTGCCGGCCCGCGGGCAGGGTGAGTCGGACAGCGGGGATGGGATGGGATGGGATGGGATGGGATGGGATGGGATGGGATGGGATGGGATGGGATGGGATGGGATGGGATGGGGCGGAGCGGAGCGGAGCAGGATCGGGTCCTCAGTCTCCTGCTTGCAGGGGTCCCCTGTGCACAGCACCAGGATCCCCGCTGGACCCGGAGGTGCGGAGCAGCTGATGCCCCCCTATTCTGGGTGCCACCTCCAGTGTCCCTGGTGCCACCTGGGGTCTGCCCAGTGTGGGGTACTCTGGGGGGGGGAGGGGTGTCTTTGCTCCCTCTTTTCATGTGTCTGAGCCCAAAATGAGGGGGGGGGGGGGGGGCACTGTCGGGTTCAAAGGGGCAGCTCCCTCTGTCCCTGTGCCCCTGTGAGGGCCCGCACCCTGCGCTGCACCCACCCGCCTTGCCTCCTCCCGCAGACCCGAAGCTGTACACCCCGGCCCTGTCCAACCTGGCCCTGGGGGGGCTCACGACCGCCTCCACCTTCGTGCTGGACCAGCCCCGCTGCGCCTTCCCCGACTCGCTGAGCGACGCCGTCATCTGGCTGGTGGTGGCCGACCCGCAGGGTGCGCAGGGGTCCTGGGGGTGCGCGCAGGGCTCCTCCCGTGCACCCCGCGGTCCCTCCTCATCCCATCCCCATCCCTGCAGGCGTACTCAGCTTCAACAACACCCTGGAGCCGGGGTCCCAGGCCAGGGCGTACCAGCTCTTCCCGGGCAGCACCTCTGCCTACATGACCCTCAACACCACCCTCCTCAACTACCCGTGCCCCAAAGCCGATGGGGAGATCGCGGTGCTGCGCGTCGGCAGCGAGACCAGCTGCCAAAGGGATAACACCAGACCCACCTGCAACGGCCCCCTGCCCGGCCCCGGGCCGTACCGGTATACCCATCCCCATAGCCTGCTCATGGGGGCTGCTGGCAGCCCTCTGAATCACATCCACCCTCCCATCCCATCCCAGGGTGAAGTTTGTCGCCTGGGATAACTCCGGTCCTGTGGCTGAGACAAAGTGGTCAGAGCCTATCCCCCTGAGGACAGGTACCAGGGGGTTCATCCTGCCCCTTGCACCCATCCCACATCCCTCGGGTTGGGGGGCACAGGGTGGCCCGGGGGGGGGGGGGGAGGCTGGATGCTGAGCACCAGCATCTCGGGGTTCAGCTCTCCTGCGAGCAGCGGGGGGAAACTGAGGCAAGGGCACTGCCTGATGGCACCGTGCGAGGGCACATCGTGTCTGCACGGTGCAGTCGCACACCGGTTGCCCACAAACACACCGGGGTGCGCATCCTGCTCCCTCCCCAGCCACGCCATGGAACAACATCCCCCGGGCGGACCGCGGGCACAGCGCTGCCATGATCGCCCTCACCTCCATCCTCACCATCCTCTTCGCCGCCCTGCTGGCCGGCCTGGTGGCCATGCTGGTGTGCTGGGGGTGAGTGTCACCCCCGGGTCCCATCAGGAGCCGCGATGGGTGCTGGCATGTCACAGGGTGACACCGGCACCCCCTTTCCCCCCCATAGCTCGGATACCTGCGGTGTCAGCAGCACCTTCAGCAAGCCTGAGGCAGTGACGGTGCAGCGGTACAACACACACCACGTCTATGACCACCCCCCCGCCCGGCTCTGAGCCCCCCGCCGCGGCCCCAAGCTCCTCCCCGGTGCCGGTGGCACGATGCCCGCTGCCTCCGGGGCACTGCCGGAGCTGCGCTGGAGCCGGGCATTAAAGGCCTTTCCGCATGCTTTGTGCCCAGCCTCTGCCTCCTGTGTGTGGTTCCTACCCCCCGCAGCCCCATCCCAATGTGCCCCTGCAGGGCTCTGAGCCCCGTCGCTGGGTGCGGCCCGGCTGCCCCCAGGGCAGGATGTGCCCGGAGATGCTCTGGAGTGGAAGAAGCATTTTCACACCCAGCTTGGGGAATGTGGAGTCACCTCCACCCGCTTTGGATGGGGCAATTCCCCTGCGGGGTGAGGTAGAGAGGGGGGATCCTGACCCCCAGCAGCCCTGCTGCTGGGGTGAGAGGCACCGAAATGCCCCCAGGAGTGTGTGTGGGGGTGGGTATAAAGGGTGTTTGTCCCCATTCACCTTCACCCCACAGTGATTTCTCCCTTCCCCAAACCCAGACGAAGGGCTCCTTCATCCAGAGCCGGCCCAATCCTTCCAGGGCTCTGCTGGTGTTCCCCCGCCAGCAGCGAGATGGCAAGAGGGGACTGGCAGCGGGGCCTGATTCTGCACCACGGTCGGGGGGGTCTGATCCTGTAACTGGGAGCTGTGAGGTCCTCATCCAGCGTTCCTGATCCTGCGACAGGCTCTGGGACCCTGATCCTACAGCCTGGGCAGGATGAGACCCTCGAGTGCTGAGGACAAGTGGAGCAGAGAACCGTACCCCCCTTTAAGTGGACTCAGGGTGGGTGTGCATATACATATACACATCACATACATATACACATCACACACATATACACATCACACACATATACACACACAACACACACATATACACACCACACACATATAGACATCACACACATATACACATCACACACATACACATCACACACATATACACATCACATACGTATACACATCACATATATATACACATCACACACATACACACCACATACATATACACATCCCATACATACACGCACCACGTACACATATTGCCCCCCCCTGTACTTTCCCCGTGGGCTCCTAGCAAAGGGCAACACCACATTTACACCGGCCCCACTGACAGGGGACAGCCCCCCTCAGGCTCCTTGACACCGGTGAGACGGGTGTTTGAGCTCCGGGTATGGGGCGGGCTGGGGGGACCCTGTTTGCCGGTGACACCGTCCCTTGGCTGTGCCGCGGCCGGGATCCGCAGGAGTTAATCCCGGCTTTGGTGCCTTTCCTTGGCTGCGCTCCACGGAGGCCGCTCCTGGCAGCGCAGCGCGGGGGGGCCGGGTTGCTAACACCCGTCCGGGGCAGCGGGAGGGAGCTCCGTAAGGGCGCTATGACCATGGAGCCCGGGTAAAGGTGTGTTGCCCTTTGTGCGGAGCCTGAGGGAAATACGGGGGGAGTAATGTATGTGTGTGGTGTGTATGTGTGTATATGTGTGTGTGTGTGTGTGTGATGTGTATGTGTGTATATGTGTGTGTGTGTGTGTGTGTGTGTGATGTGTATGTGTGTGATGTGTGTGTGATGTGTATATGTGTGTGATGTGTATATGTATGTTGTGCGCATATGTATGTGATGTGTATGTGTATGTGTATATGTATGTGCTGTGTATAGGTGTGTGATGTGTGTATGTGTGTGATGTGTATGTGTGTGTGATGTGTATGTGTGTGATGTGTGTATGTGTGTGATGTGTATGTGTGTGTGATGTGTATATGTGTGATGTGTATACGTGTGTGATGTGTATATGTATGTTGTGTGCATATGTATGTGATGTGTATATGTATGTGATGTGTATATGTATGTGTATGTGTATATGTATGTGATGTGTATATGTATGTGATGTGTATATGTATGTGTATGTGTATATGTATGTGTATGTGTATATGTATGTGATGTGTATGTGTATATGTATGTGATGTGTATATGTATATGCACACCCACCCTGAGTCAAAGTCGGTTCTCTGCCCTGCTTGTCCTCAGCACTAGATGTCTCATCCTGCTGGAGGTGGTACATGTGGCCCTGACATGTGGCCCTGGCACCCGGGGGGAGATGTGAGCGATGGCGGCAGGGGTCCTTGTCCCTTGTTCCACGTGCGGGGGAAGCAGAGGAGCAGCGCCGCAGCACGGGGCAGCGCGTCCCCATCGTGTCCCTGTAGCGTCCCCGTGGTGTCCCTATGGTGTCACTGCGGTGTTCAGGCATAAATGCCAAGGACCAGCGGTGTCCGCCAGCACGGCGCTGAGTCCCAGCGCTGGTCTTGCAGATGGGGTTCCCCACCTCCCCTTCTCTATCGATGGCACCAGTACCCCCGAAATGCCACCAGCTCCTCCGGGGGTGCTGCAGCCGTTGGGAGGGGGGCACGGAGGGCCAGGGATTAAATAAATAAGAAAGGGTCAAAAGCCAGAACAAGGTGGGTTTGGGGCACGGGGAGCGGCCGGGGGGTGCAGCCCCGGGTTCATTGGGTGCGGGGGGCAGCAGGAACCCAGTGTGGGGCCGTCCTTAACTCCCGGCCCGAGGGGGGCTCCGGGCTGAGCCCCCGGGGCTGCACCGGCCGGTGCCCGAGGGCTGAGCGGGACCGAGGGGCTGCGGGGGGACCCCGGCACAGCGCGGGAACCCCCCCTGTCAAGCCCCGCCCACAACACCGAAGCCACGCCCATTATCCCCACTCACTCCCAATCGGGACGGGGGGGTACTCGTTGAGCCACGCCCCTTATCCCGCCCCGCACTCTGATTGGCTGCCGGCTGCGCCGGCCCGCACATGGGCGAGGGGCTGGGGGAGCCGCGGGTTCGAGGCTGCGCTCGGCTCAGTCGCGCTCCGCTGCCCGCCCGCCATGGCCCGGCGCAGCGCGCTCTCCATCCGCATCGTGGAGGGCAAGAACCTGCCCGCTAAGGACATGTGAGTGCCTCTGGGGGGGAGCATGCCCTGGAGGGACCCCTCCTGCCGCGGGGCGTCCCCGCAACAGGTCCCT